AGCGGGCATTGTGTTACCTTTGATGCTAGCTGTTTCCATTGTACTTACGTAAGATGAAGATATGAAAACTGTCAGATCAGAAATGAAAAAAGGCATATAATAAAAATAATAACTTTCTTTTTTAAAAAACATCGCCATTTTTACGCTGTAGTTTCTATCTATCTCATGTTAATATATCTTAGTCAGATTTAGTTGTATAGTGTTTAAGGGCCTACCTATAATAAATTGCAAATTTTTGATAAAATCACAATAACGGAGCGTCACTGACTACATAATCACATGTTTCTGTTCAACTGTTTCCCTTACTTTCGTCAGATAGGCATTCCTCTGTATGACTTTCCGTACTGAACAGCACCTCGCGACTTTTTTTTCCCCGGTTAATTAACCTACGTTAACTCTATGAATGTGTGCATTGCTGAGATTGATTAGTAAGTGTTTCTACGGTCTGTCGTAGAATTGTCCGGCTGTGGGGATAGCAATGTTATTACAAAATGGGGCAAGTCAAGCCTGTAAGCCATTAAAAACTGCATCGGGCTGATGTCAATTAAAGCATTTGCATCGGTAAAATTCACGATCATAACGGTGGCAGTCACGTACTGCTGCTTATATCACAATAAAAGGGGCCGTGGTAAATCGTCGTTTAGAAGCACCCGCTTCGCACAGTTATGTAAAAGCGAAAAAAAAAAAAAAATTCTGGCCTATTTGAAGTATGTCATCGCTTGTCTATTTTGAAACGTGTACAGTTTATGGCTGGGAAATTAACTTAGTTCCTTCTGCCTCCGAACTAGGAATGGTTCGATCATTTCATCAACGATGAAACGTTCAACGTGGCTGGGTCCGCTCCTTATGAGGCAGCTAGCCTTATGTGGTCGAATAGCCGCTATTGTTTTGTAGAATTAAAAAGTATTTTCTTAAAGCTGTTTCGAACAGCAGCCATCTAGACTAAATCGAACAATTACATTGGCGACAAAAGGACCATTTCTGCTTTCCTTCAGTCATCAGCCACACCTTTATTTTTTCTAGCCAAGCAAGGAGAACTCAATCGTCGATATTTCGTAGTTAACGGGATGTGACACTTATTTAGAACTGCGGGTTAAAGTTACATTTATCATTCGAAATTATTATCGTTCTAAGGAGTCCTCGGCTCCATGTTTCTACTTTAGGTACCCGAGGCGTACTGCAATTAAAATCACTAGAGGTTCACATATTTAATTATATTAGACGCATGTAAGCTTGACTGTATTTGGGCAATTTAACAGTAGGAAAATTGTTTGTTTGTTTTTTTTTTTACTGCATGCACTTGTTAAAGTCTGAGGATGACACCGATATACATGTCTGTGTTCGAAAAAGCGTACGTGGAAATTTCGAAATACTGCACAACAAAATACTATTGCGAGCGCTTACTATATATTGCAAGTAAACGGCTTGACGAAAATTACATTGCGGTTTAATACAATACATATTTGTATCGCATGTGCCTAGATCTAAACTATTCAACAGTTGTGTGTTTTATCGAACTCAGAAAGACTTAGTGTTTACTGAAATGGGCTTCATTTGTAACATTTTTCTTACTGATTTCCATTCTATCTCAAGCATAAGCGATTTACCGCAGCCATTATCTAGCCTTCGCTGCTGTTCTCGCGCGAAGTTCCGTCAAATCAATATAATTTGCCATTACGTTTTTTTACTTTGACACTAAGTTTAGCGCGTCATTTTCCCTGACATTTTACTAGATCCTAATCGTTCTTTAATGGATACACTACGAAACAGATATTTTTATTCGAGGACGTTTTGCCGCGAATGCCCATCCAGGTGTTTCAGATTGCTCATGTTCTCATTATTCCTTTCTGAGAAAAAGTAGGATCTGGGTAGTTTGTTCCCGTTTTGCTATCTAGACAGAATCGATTATTGGACAAATATGGTGACCACTCAAGTAGTGATGAAGAATACTGTTTTGTACTAGTCCCTTGCCCCTGCCCCGGCAGCGATGGTGGTGGTGGTGGTGGTGTGCGTAATACGCTCGCCCTCACGGCCGAACAGGGCGGACGGGCGTTCGCGCGGCGTCGGCTCCATACCGCGTAGAGAAAACATATTCTAATATAGCCTATTCTAGCTTTTCTGAGCTATTTCATCCGTTTAAATAGAAATTAAGGGAGAAATTCATATGGTCAGATCTATTTTGTTCGTGTGCGCTAGTGTTTAAGTGCCTATAGTGTAGCGTACTGTTCGCGTATTTTATCCAGTTTCAGTCAAATGTCGCTGCTAGAACACGTCAACCAGGAGAAAAGGAAGATAATTGTTTAGGATTTTACAGATAATTAGCTATAAGTTCTGTCGAGAAAGCGTTGCTGTGAGCTAACTATACATTCTCGTCGTTTTCAACATAGAGATCCGATGGTGCTATAAGTGTGCGATACCGATGATGAGATTAACTAAACACAACATCTAAGGTACGACAAGAAGTGTTAGGTCGAACTGTGGCGCTTTTTGCAGTGTTACAATGCAATTTTAACGATATTGAAAGACTAAGTGTGTTTAAAGAAGGCCCCAATCACGGCCTGCAAATGAAGGCCCGAAGCAGGTCGCTTGATGAGATAGCATTCGATTACTCCGAGTGGTGGCGGGGTATTGGTATAGGTGAGTCTGTAAGCAGCATAAGATGAAAAAACCATATGATCCATTTGCATTTGTTTTCGGAAATATCGTGAGAAAACCAAAGCTCGATGATAAAACAACCTTGTTCCATTATCACATAACGTCCATCACAGAGGTATTTCGTTTAAAATCGATACTTTCAGACTAATTTAATCGACAACTGCGTCAGTTTCACGTTTTATCTGCTGTGCCAGCTACGTGACTGTCTCGTGAATTTACCCCCCCCCCCCCCAATTCGTGTGCAAACTTCGCCTTTGTCGTTATCTTCAAAACGAAATATTCTCTTAGCTTCTTAATATCAGTAATTTGCTAAATCTAAATTGTACATCTCTATCATTCATTTGCCTTTAACATTTATTATATAAATATATATTTATATAATTTAATGCCAATAATAGAATGGTTAAGAATTCGTTGTTCACTTCATGCAGAATATGCTCAATTGGCATTTTTAAGGCCCACATAGCAGAATGTCCTTTTCGGAAGGCCCAAGACATTATTCTTTTTGTTGTTTAACTTACACGCGTGCCTTACATGCAGGAGCAAGCATGTTTTTTTGCGACTTGATTGTTTTCTATTATGTTTCTCTCTTCAAGCCCTTAACCCTCATAAGGCAAAATATTCGCCCCGCCCGTGAATATTCCTCATTTTTAGTGCATACAACAGCTTCTGTGTGGTAAAGTGGATACTTGGAATTGTCTTTCGTATATATATATATATATATATATATATATATATATATATATGTATATATATATATATATATATATATATATACGAAAGTATTAGCGAACGAGTAATATGAATTGTAGCATACCAGAAATAAAGGCATACAGACAAACAGAGGATAGCTAACAAATCGGGCGTTTCTTCAGCACCACTAATAAGGTAACACTACTATGGGAGAACCACAACATCAATACATGTACCCTATATATGCAGAAATATAAGGTTTTCCATACGCTGCCACAAAAACTGTCGCTGGATTAAGTATAGCTCTTGAGCACTATACATATTTTACTCAGCATATCCCGAAACTTTTCGACCCGGGCCGCGATCGTGTATTAATACAAAACTATTGTACATGACCCATGATACTTTTTGAAACAGGCTTCCATTATTGTTTGCCGAAACGAAATAGCAAAAAGACTTTTTGACGAAGTATTTTGAAAAGGCCCAAATCAAGTCTCTTGATAGGATATGTCACCTACCATTGCACATACTGCAGGCAACTCTACTCCGATCGTCCTAATGGGACAACTATTTTTTTTACGAAAAGGGGCGCAACTCAATAAACAATGACTATTTTGCCGAAAGGAGAAGCCTCATTTCATAGTAAAAAATAATGTTAATTCCCCGAGTGGGCTGAACTGAAGCCAATTTTGAGATAGGCTTTTGAGATTGTGCAGGCGACACGGACGTTATCGAGGGAGGCACAATTGCCAGGTCCCCTATCAATAAGCGTTTTCTTGTGAAAGCACCGACTTTACGTCATAGCTACTTTAACGAAAAGCAACGATACGGAAAGTTTCGTATTTTCGGAAAATTCACACTGTTCATTTAGCCTAATGTTAAGTTTGGCAGGGCTCCTTACATGAACGGGAAAAAAATTCATTCAATTTGATTTGGTCACTTGTGTTTACGTCAAGATAATTCGTTAGAATTTATGCGGCGAAGGACAAGTAATCGGTACTTGTGCGGGAACGATTTTGAATTGTCTCACTATAAAGCAGTATTTATTTAGCAGAAACCACTGTTTCTGCTGATAAAAGTAAAAGTCCTGTTTACTAACGGTCGCCGTGCCTGCAAAGCCTATTTGACTAGAGGATTTAACTTGTCATACCGTTGATGATATTTCAACATAGCGAAGGTAAGGATCCACTAGTCGGGTGAGATAACATCAATATAATAGCGTCAGCATCTATTGAAATGAATTTTTTCTTATAATAAGATAATCTAATACTTACCATAATACACAATAAAAGGATACTGGTGAATGGTTTATTTCGATTAAATGATAGTTGGGATCACTGATCTTATGGCTCGATCAAACTACCTTTGCTTCTAAATAAATTTTACAATTATACAAAACGTGGTACTAGCTAGCGGATACTATGGGACTGGAACATTGCTTTCTTTCCGCTCCATCGCTTCAGGCATCCTAAATGTGTAATTTTTTTGAAGGAAAACAATAGATGATAAGCTTATTATTTATCCATGCCGATACAATTAAAAAGTATCAATACTAGGATTTTTTTTTGTAACTAACATCAAATAGTAAATAAATATTGTTTATAATTTTCCTATCCGTAGAATCGTTTGCTTTCATACTGTAATGCTTTTAGACGAGTCGTCGATGGCTACCGATCACATCGTTGAACTAGTTGGCATCCATTATACCGGACCGGTGCAGACGCCTTCGTGTGTTCAGAGCCTCACCGGAACAGGACTAACGGCACCCCTAATCAAAGATGTCTCCCTCGAAGTGCACGCCGGCGAAGTAATGGCCGTCCTCGGTAAGCATCCATGCTTTTAGATTTAGTCTCACTGAGCAAGCAGCTTAGTACAGATGTAATTAATCGCGACCAGACTGACGTTATCAATAGCTCTCCGATTGAAAATGAAGATAACTCCTCTACGTATATACGTACCTCTTAATGTTTCGCTGCTGCAGGTTGCTGACACGATCATCCCTATATCCAGAACACAACCTAATTAAAAATATCGGCTCAAGCAATCGGGCAGCAGGAAGACGAATTTAACTGTCCTCTAACAGGGTAACTGCATAATAAATCTTACACGAAATTTTACAAGGAACGATCGTTGAACTCGAGGGTTTCACTCTTTTGTGACTGATACATATGAGAATAGGTTTGTAACGCGACGATGTCTGAAGGGGGGCAATAATATCTGCCAAGTAGAAGGCACTGAAAATGCAAATCTTGTTGTTGGCACAACATATTGATCACCATCAACAGCTATTGTAGTTGGCATCAAAGACAGCACCAAAGAGCCTCGTTGCCTTTTTTTGAGGAGTTATGTCTTTAGCGACTTTTGCGTTCACACACATTTACCGACAAGAACAGCTCCTCCTTATACCTATAATAGTCATATAGAGTACTGTCGAGTTACGCGGAAACATAGATATAACATGATTATTTTTTACCGCTTTTTATCTTTTGATTATCCTGTTGAATTCCATGCTGAGCGGCGGTCCTATTAGTACTATAGCTTTGTTCAAATATTAAATGTCGCTATGTCGCCGCTAGCGATGTTGACGACGTTGAGTAGTCCTCTCAATGAGAATCCTGAATCGTTTGAGATATTCGAAAACGAAGTCAGTGGATTAAAGGTGGGGTAACCAACGAAAAGGTTCGCTGTCGCCGACCAAAGGACTTTTACGATTATCAACGGGTCCAGTTCGCTATCCATCTCTCGCAGAGCCTCAAGCAGGGCCGGACATAAGATGGCGTGCAGTAGTAGTTACCATAGCGGCAACTTACCGCTTCGTGGCTAGCAATTTCGGTAGCGTTCAATAGTTCATTGCCTTGCATTAATATTCAGCAATGTCTAAAACGGCAAGACAAATGCGGGAAGGAGGGTCGCGGCGTTGTTGAGACAGCCGCTTTACCCCCAATTCAATTAAATGGAACAGCATTTCCATTTAACTGTGACTGGGGTTGGCTTAGCTGGTAGGAAATGTTTGACTGGCGTGACGTTACTCGACCGCCAAATTTGAAACTGCGAGAAGTGTGTAACCTTGTTGACGGCGTTTAGTGAGGTAGCATCTGATTCCCCTCATCCACTTACCGAGGGTGGTATGAACTCACGAAAGGCTGAAGGTTCGATTACACACTTCGAGAGCCGCTTGTAGGGCTAAGTAGTACTTTTCGTTTGCAATAGCACAGAAGAAGTTAGGTACGCAGCAGAAAAACGAAACGCGGTTTCATTCATGGATGACCTTGCAAATATTATTTTCAGCCGATGTAGGCTTATAAGTAATCTGCAACAGATGTAGTTGCAGTGATTGGTAAAATCAACAAAAGACTTGAATAAAAAAATTCATATATTTATCTATCGGGTTGGAACTAAGCATGAGTCGGCCGAGTATATGCCTCGAATTTTTGTTCGAGTGAATTGTTGTTGTTAATATATTTTGTTTGTGTCATTGTGCAAATACTAAATAGTTCCCTAAGTTAAACCTCTGTTACTCATTTTTATATGGCAACATGGAACTTGTCTAGATTCTCAACGTGAATATGTGTGACAGAATTTTCATTCTTAGAACCTACCTTGCTTCCGGGAGGACATCGTCAGTTGTGACAAAGAGTTCACGTTTGTATTGGGAAGATCGCACGGAACAGCCGATAGTTCAGGCGCGGTTCGTATCAGTATCGTCTCAAGCAGGTTACACGACTTTCAATGCAGCTGTCTGTTGATTAGTTCAGCCAACACTACGGGGACGTTCCCGCTAGAGTACTTCTGGTATCGGCTAAAAAGGGTACGATTTAATTGTATACGATGGCTCCTTGAAACGCTTTCAAAGAATCAGGACAGAGACGCTGACATAAATTCTTTGAATAAACCATAAATTATCTAAAAAGATTTATTTTTTATGAATTATCTTGCATTTGCAAACAGCAATTATGCGAAGTTCAGCCGAAAGCATAAAAAACGAAACTGCAATAGATGTTGTCTGCGTATCCGTTATTGGTAACCCTTCGTAATGGGCCACTTCGACGCTAATACGAAAAAGCCGACTAATTCAATGTTCACAGTTCAGTAAGTTACGATCTTTGACTACCAAATCGCTGATCTTGAGCTTAAAGTGCGTTTTTGCTGAAATTTGACAGAGCTTTTGTCGACGGTTTCTGATCATTTTCGAGGGGTTACTATAATAAAAACATACTTTATTATTACAATGGTGCGCCTATGTACAAGGCAAGTATACTGTGTTTTAAGATTATCTAGTGCTTGACCGCGCAGCGCGCTCGACACTTTCCATAGAAATAGGTTATTTACAGGTATCGGTAATCGTCGATGAGTTTTGGATCTGGTGTTTGTCTCTGATCGTGTAGAACAATGCTAGTGTTAAATTTAAAAAATGTCCACTTATTGATAAGAAATTCCTAGGTATTTTTTTTATCACACCGACATTTGTAGCTAATGTGTTACTCTCAATTTTGTGAAGCATTTCTTGACCTGACCTAAATATCATACGGGTGCTACCTAAATACCATACAAGTGCCCTAACGCATATCTTCAATATACAAAGTTCGACAGATGAGCGTAAGGTCCAGTTAGAGCGGCGCGTGATGCTTTGTGTATTTTCAGGTAACTGTCGTGGTAAACCCTAGACCTCGATGAATCCTTGCGCTTGCGAATTGAGTACGGCAATGGAATATACATGGCTATAGAAAATAGTAATTCCTTACCCGATAATTTTAAATCTAATCCATTGGCCTATTCATGAAAACACATCTAGGGTAAACTGCCATCGTATTTCTCGGCTCCTGAATATATTTTTACACAACTAGCCTACGTTTTTAAATTGCCACTTCGAGTACTACATACGTTACTGAATTTACATTGGAAAATAGATATGTGAGATTCATGGATTGTACCTTGAGGTCAATGAGGAGGGTTGTAGCGATATCTGTGTGTTTCCCGTTGATTGTTTCACCTTCGATTCACTTTACCAGTCGATCGATGATGCTAAAACGCAGAAGGAACTTGAGATGCTTGCCGGTACACCCAGGTCCACTAACCACACTGTTACCATTCGGATTATGTCTGGCACTTCGGCGCTTTGAAAAGATCGGCTGAAAGTCTTCCTTTAAGAAGTAGTGCAAAGTCCAAATATTGCGCTGCGTTCGATGTAAATTCGTAGAAGAGTACTTGTACCTTTTCTCGATAATCCGTTATTAATTTTTTGTCTAATAGAACTCGCTTCGTCGTGCCCAGTTATGCTTCTATAAATTATAATTTTTATTTGAGAATACCACTTGTGTAGGGGTGTGACGCTACAAGCGACAACTTCAAACAACAAGAGGTTTATATTAACTTTTGACAATGTAACATTTTATAACGCACTTCTTCTGAAACAACGACTTTCGACCACGCAAGATTCTGTCCTTCTATCAAGAATTTCAACAAGTCACTGCAGTATTTCCGTCAACAGAGCGACATCCACTAAAGAAGTGATAACGAGTGTCCATAGCTTCATTCCTACCGAGTGGAAGTTCATTTAAGCAAATATAATTTGGACTCATGTTTATAAAGACATTTTTTAGCCCGTTTCTGGTTCTGGTTCCTGGACGAGTCATGCTATGCAAAAAAAAAAAAAAAAAAAATGTTTAATACCACATTTCTACGTATGACTTCACGATAATGCGAAATTTCAATATCTTTTCACACAACATAAAGATTGCTATTACTACCCTGGATACCTATTTTCTCGACTGATGCGCATCCGTCTGGTCTTCTAAGTTGTCGTGTCGATACACTAAGATCATTCTTGAGATCATGTAGAGTCTTCTCGTCTCCATAGGCTCCAGTCGTATTACACGTTCCTTAGTTGTGACTGCTACTTATTACGTGAGCTCATGGGTTGTTCTTGTTTTTGGGCGTTGTCTTATTGTTCACTGGTGTAATGGCCGGCGGATGGGGTGCGACTGTGGGCACCGGGGTCTGTGGACTATCGATACCCTCAACTTGCGTTGGAAGTCAAAAACATCTCTATGTCGATCTCCAATCAATGCGCTCTTCCCGAAACTTGTAATATCTATTTTGTTAGTTACTCCTCCCTGCCCTCAGATCCGTACTTTTCCTAATTCCGTCTTAAAGGAGGTTGGTGTAATCGTACCGGCTCGAACCTAATTTGCCTATTTGATACAACTTTAAGCGGTCACAGTCGGTAACGAGTGATTGTAATGTATGAGTCAGTGAGGGGATCTGATGCTTCGACGGAGTAGAATTTTTTAACTTCATATAGGGTTGCTTGGCGTTCTCGTGACCAGTCAAAATATTTTTTCATCTTACATAGTAATGCTGATAATAGTAGTATCTGATTTAGTTTATAATGGTTTAGTATAACAATAAAATTATTTAGTTCATGTTCGGAGTATCTTAGAATAATCGATCTGAAATCTGACGTTTTTAATCCACTGGAAAAGTTCATCAGGTCCTTTATTATGTTCCGTGGCGCTAAAGTCTGCATCAATTAATACTGTTGTTAATCCACTTGTTATTGTATCTAAGTTCCTGGAAGATAGCGAACTAACTAATTCTGACGATCTTCTAACGAGCATTTATTGTCAACAACTACTTCGATTCGTCATCGACTTTAATCTGTAAACATCTTTCCACGTAACTTGAGGTTTGAGATAATTTTCTGTAAAAATGCTTCTTGATAGCAACTGTGTATATCTTGTGCACTGCTAACTTGGTAAACGTACTGTTTGTGCTCGTAAAGTTTGTGCTTAATTCACGACGATGTTTCTTTCTACTGAACGCAAGCTTAAATATGTGATTTGTTGTGGAGGCGGCGTCCGCTTTTGCGTCCAAATACTTAAGGCTACCTGTCTTTTTCGTCTTCGTATTCGGGTTTTGGCACGGTCCTATTTACAGTCGTTACCCAGATATGGCCGAAATCTAGGTCATTTAATAGAGACGGTCCATTTCGTAGGTGTATTCGTTAAAAATGGTGCTAAAAAACCTTTCTCACACGTCGCCGAAAAAAAAAAAAAAGAGTTGTCTTCTAGAACCTAACAACCAATTACGGCCAAAAAGTGTAGCCTGTCGCGACCATTTACCAACTTGAGTCTGAAAGTCTTGACAGTATATGTGAGTTGTAGTTCAACTTTTAAGTTACCAATCGTGCCTCCTTCTTACCATTTTTGGCTATCGCGTCTATATCTGACATACCGGTTGCCAAATAAAGGGCCGCTAGGAGGGTCCAACGAGAAACTAAGAACTCTGTCATAATGTCCCGGTGTAAGAGGGGTCGTTCGTTATCGTTGTTGCTGGGCTGCTAACGGGATCTGTTTACGGCTCTAAACAAATTTATTTATAAAAGACTTTACGGTTCCGAGTATTGATTTGTATTTGTAGTGATAACCGCTAGATAAATAATAGCAGAGGCTCGTCGACTAGTATCTAAATTGAGGCGCTTTGTTGTTTGGTATCAATATTTACGTTATATATATATATATATATATATATATATATATATATATATGCATACATCATCGTTCACTTCGCATCACTCTTGACATAATTTTCCACCTTCACTGAGGTCGGCTGACGTGTAAAGGTTGCATTATGTGTATATAGTCCATTTCAGCTTATCTCTCTCCTGGCAAAAATATATCTTCAGCGGTTCCTGCGTACTTAACCTTGGGCTTTTTTTTTGTTACAGTCACCTCTCATCACTCGCCTGTCATTTCGAGGCCTTTATAAGGTCCGTCGTAAGATTCAATTTTATTTCTTCGATGCATCAATGCACCTACTTATTTAGATGAAGGCTTAACAAGCTTAGCGTACCATCAGTGGCCAATCGTCGTATGGTTAGATAATATATTATCTGCTCGGACAGGGCTGAATTTACGGAATGGGAACATTTGCATTTTTTGTGATTGTTCCAGCCTGCAAAAAATCTCAGATTGTCTGTGAAGTGATGTCCCTTTGGTGAGTAGCAGAGCATCACACAGCGGTATGCGCTTGCTTTGCAGGTAACGAACGTTCAAATATTCCCGCGAAATTGCCTCAAACGCGAAGATATAGATGGGTGGGTAAGGCTTAGTGGCGTAAACGTTGGAGAAATTATAGTCAAGCTGTTTTAGCCAGTGAATATGACAAAACAAATAGCGAGCCTGAAACAGTGAAAGCCATCCATCATACGTCAATAGCTTCTGGACAGGGAACGATTCTAAAAATGATTCTTGACATCTAAGTGGTTTACTGTTATTGAAGATCGAGTTCCTTGCCTAGAGTTGTACCTATTCTAACTATGACGATATTAATACGTCGTCTATAACATGGACGGGCTCGTTTTTTATCGTATCTAGTGCGATTACTTGGCTGGGCTGAATCCGGATCTGACGTCTTCAACGCTGATCTCGCCAGTGTGAGTTCTGTTGTTCCTGACTGAATAATAGGCAGCCGATTAGTCTGAGATCTATTTCAGCGGTTTCGCATTACGGAAGACAACTCTGGGTATTAGTAGCATCTTCATAGAGAACAAATAGTAATATTCATTTTTAAGGAGATATATCGATCAACTTTCATATCCGTTCCAAGCACCCATAGGTAACCTGACAATGCCGAAGTTTGAACTAATAATGCAGGTACAAGGCTTGAGCCTTGCTCGCTAGTTGCGTGAGCTAACATAGTGAGACGACAAAGCTGTAATAGCATAACTAGGAAATAGGTAACGCTACATTTCTGAACAATGGGCGAAGCCAGACAGATTCCGACATGTAATTAGCTAAATGAATTTACATATGACCTTTACAAGATCGATATCCTGTGTTAACTACGAAGCGAGATTTCCTGGCAGGATCTACTGTGTCGTCACATCAGCTAAAAATGAATAGCTTACATTTCTACTTCGTTGCATATAATACATTGTATTTTAGGCTTGTTTAATTTTATGCGTTACGAAAGAAGAATATTGTTACTTGAGTCTCAAATACGATACAAGCTTCAATCGGTAACCAATTGTCCCCAATTTGCCATGAATTTTATTCGAACCTAAGAAAAAAAAGATATATAAAAACATATACAAATATGCGAGTAGGTCAAGTGATAAAATGGATGTACTAATCGCGTACGAAAGTTGAACATTAATCTAATTCATGTCCTGTTTTTCGATTTTGCGACAGGCTCGAAAGGCAGTGGAAAAAAAGCGCTTTTGGAGGTGATTGCCCGACGAGCCATGGGCCCGACGAGGGGCCAGATACTGCTCAACGATATACCAATCACAGTTCGGCTTTTCCAGGTAAGCAGTAGCTACGACGACGAGCCTTATGGCCTGTAGCCCTATTCGAACACTCTAATCGAATTTTTACGTAAGGACAGAGTAGCCATTTCGACGTCTTGACACATCAAACCGTCAAGCGAGTTGTAAGGTTCGTTGCGGCAGTTGAGGGACTTGGATGCCAGTAATAGGGCAATTAGACGTCTTAACAACACGGCCTTTCATGTAAAGATAACTCAAGTCCTGCGCGCCATGTTCATCCGGGGCTCCATTGGTATCGTGTCGAAGGGTCGTAAACATTTATCCTCGACCTCGAAAAAACATATCTTCGACGGTCTGCGTATAGGTTGTTAGCCGATAACTCGGATATCTTTAACCCGCAAAAATAATATGGATAAACTGCAATAGCATGTCATAGTATTTTACAACGCAAATCTTTCGAATTTTGTACGAACAGCTTGAGGGGCTGTATGAAGGCCGAGGCGCATGACGTTGCAAAATTGGAGAGTGCTAGTAATCTATTATATTTTTTTTCTGTTAAAATGGGTGGAACAATGATACGCTAGTTTCTAATATTTTTACCCTTTAATAAAGTTTTATTTGAATTGAAAATCAATTGAATAGCTTGTGAGCCCAACGTGTAGGACCCGTATGACTCCTAGATAAATCAAACGAACCCCTATAATCTAAAGATGGTAAGTCTGAGTTTGCAAGATTTCGCTGAATTTGCTCCACCAGGCGGAATAGCGTTCGAGATTATGTTTGCCATTAAAGATACATAAAAAGTCACCCCCATGCCGCCATTTTTCATAACAGCGGTTTACAGATCCAAAAAGAAGAATTACATCCGAAAATGTAATAAATCGTTTACTAGAATGGCCAACATGATCTGCTAGCATATTTTATGAAGAAATTAAGGTTAAGTTTACTCAAGGTTAAGGTTAAGTTGAGCGATAATATCTTACTTTCGTTTCTTGCCTCTTCGGTTGGCTTTAAACAAATACTTCAGAGTCACAACGACCTCCATGCGATCCGATGCGAAATCAGTTCTTTCAAACTGTTCCCCGAAAATTGCAATGTATAACAGAAGCGCTAGATAAATTACGTGACAACAAATGGTAACTCTTTACCTGGCTTACGAACACCTAATCAAATATCGAGGGTTGAAGGCGATCGACCATTTTAAAGACTACCTCTACTGAAGAGTCATGAGAGTCTACACCGATCTAGCAGAGTTAGATATTTAGATCGGACATTCCTATTAAGAATTACATTTATCACGCAACAAAAATAGAATTTTAAAGAGCGAAAAATCTAAATATTTCTTTAATAATAAAATACGCTGTTATCAGCCGAATTACCGTATGGATCAAATGTGTGGAAACATTTTCCTCATCGTGTATACGACTTCGTGAAGCCTAATGGCATAGTTAGAAGTCAATATAGAATAGACGAAAGGACAGGAGTGAGGTCGACTCTGCACAATATATCTCGTAAAATAGAAGTCCACTGCGGTGAATTTTAATAAGGTGTACTATCATCTTGATCCTATTGTACTCTTAATTGATTGGAAAATTACAGGAGCAGTGTGGTTACGTACCTCGTCGGGTTAACCTCGTGCCTGGCCTCACTGTACGACAAAGTCTTGACGTAGGCGCCCAGCTGACGGTCGGATCGAAAGTGCCCGCATCGGTAAAGAAGGCCCGGGTTAAACAGGTGCTGAAATCTTCTTTTTTCTATGTCTAAGCGGTCAATTGTCATTGTTGGCAGCAAACAATTTAATTCGATGATTCAATAATGCAAAATAAACATATTAATTAGTAAGTAAAATAAGGGTAAACGAACCTTGCTTACTTTTTTCGCCAAGATACATAATATAATTACAAATAAAACTCCTCTCTAAAGATTATTTGATCTCCGAAAAGGAGCGTATTATTATAATAATACTTCTCAATAGATGCCCAAACTGATGACACCAAACACAGTTCTAACACCACCCTTAACGCGATAAGAAAGCAGTTTTGATTAAGTTTCTATTGCTACTAACAGTAGATGTTTTCTTTTTTGGACAATGGTCGCGTTATGTTTTATCCAAACTATTTTTTGTCCAATTTTATCTAGCCCCAAGATAAGATTTCTAGTGTTTTGCGCAAGTTTTCGGATTAGCTTGTCTGATGTAATGATCCATTGAATACTACTTTTATAAGGGTTCAAAAAATTTATTCACTCGTAGACTTTCACAGTAATTTAAATTGAGCTTAAGGCTGTGTAAGTTAAATTGACTAGAGTTACTGCTTGAACCGCAGGTTATGGCCGATCTTGCATTGAATGGCGTCGCAGACCGTGAGGTGTCTACACTATCCATCAACGAGCAGAGAAGGCTTGCAATAGGGCTTGAGCTGGTCAGAGATCCGGGTATGCCTCTCGGGTAGTACTCACTTGTATCAGCACCTCCTCGCAGTTACTGACAGTGCTGCGAGTATCATACTTTTGAAACAACCTAGGCGAATTTCTATGTTCTAATATCTGGCCAACTCGTCTACTGAAACCTAACTAGATCACTGATTTTTATCATTTCGCAGTTCTGGTGATTCTTGATGAGCCAACAGCGGACCTGGACCCGTTAAACACCTACTTCGTAGTATCAATTTTAGCCAACCACGCTAAAAAGTACAACCGTATCGTGCTGATGTCGCTGTCAAAGCCGCGGTCTGACATTTTCCCCTTTCTCGATCGGGTAACTTATTTGTGCCTCGGCGAACTGGTCTACACTGGAAGTACTCGACATATGCTCGACTATTTCCGCAATGTCGGATTTCCCTGTCCAGAGATGGAAAATCCCCTTATGTATTACTGTAAGTGTTGAGCAAAACTGGGCATTCATTTTTTTTTTGGTGACATGCTATCTGCTAGCAATAAGGCAGTACTGAGTAACACCAAAGCTAAACTGGCTTATGTCAGTTATTACAGATAACGACATCAATAGGTACCTTGCTGTATACCTAAGCTAGAAGTACAATGCATAAATAAGGTTCAGCCCTATCTACTAATTGTTTTGTTTGGAACTTACTTAGTGACTTATTGTTTGGAAAAGCACTGTTGGCATGTGGACTTTTATAACTTTCGCAGTGTGTTTATCGACTGTCGACCGGAGAACCCGCGAACGATTCCTCGAGTCTTCTTCACAAATTCAAAGCCTTGTAGAAAAGTTTCGTATCGAGGGGGCACGGTACCGCAAAATAGCCTCCGGGGCCATATCCGATGCCACACCACCGCCACCGTCGGACTACAAGTTACCGTTAACGGGTTAGTCTAAATAATCCGTATTCATCGGCACTGTTCCATGTTCAGCATCACTTATGCTTACTGTTATAGTTTTTCCCATTAAATTGATTCGTAGAACTACGCCGATTTTCTTTTGCTCTTAGTACAATAGTGCAGAAAACAAACCTATGATAAAATACGGGTGTGCAAAAAATTATTATTAAAAGTATACAATAATGGAGCTTCCCGTGAATTACTGAAATATAATTTTGCATTTAATTATCTATCATTTTCGATTTGGCTTTAAGAAGATGAGCAAATAAAACCTTTTCATAGATATTCTTTGTAGCGTTTAGTTAACGTTTACTATAGTACTTGAATTTTTATCTATACTAGGCTCTAATGATAACCTTTAATCGATGTTTTTTGCTTTATTGTATTTATGTCTGTCACTAAATATCCCTAAAATAGCATATGGCCAGCCATCTTCAGTGCAGGTATTCGCAGCCTTGTACGGCCGTTTTATGGCGTCATCATTTAACTTCAACTGGCGCGCCATCCGTGACCTCGGATTTCGAACTTTGGTGCTTCCTGCCTTTTTCGCGTTCATGCTCTGCTTTTTCCATCCGCTACGGGACTCACAGCAGAGCTTTTTCACTCGAAACGGTCTCATTCTAAGCGCAATTACAGCCACCAGCTTCCTCTCAGCTGCCATCACCGCTATCACCTGTAAGCATACACTAACTTTTGCGTATTACATAGCGCGTTAAAGTAAATATCTATCCGTAAAGGTTCCTAAGTACAGTTTAAATGCTTTTAGCTGGTATAGATACGCACAGTTTCATAGAACCTGCATGTGAGGCCTCTCTTCTGTAGTTTCCATTGTTTTCATTATTGGAAGCATTTTTTTTCCAAAACACAGGTGGTATACTGACACGGCCATATCTGCCTTTGAAGAAGTTTCTATCGAGCGACAGGGCTGAACAATCCGAATATTTAGACGGGTCTAGGAAAACGTTCCCATGAGCAAACCCCGAGAAGAGGCACCTTCTGTCGTTAACTGGCTGGCCATATAGACTGAATGAAGTCGAACGGATTATGGAGTCTTTTTGTTGCGCTTGGTGACGGTGTCAGTAGAAATCGAAGTCTGTTGTATATCTATCTTCTTTTTAGTGCATTTTTTTTGCAATTGTATTTATCATTCCTTCGAATCTTTAAAATGTGCCTCTCTTTCCCAATCGAAACTCTTTCTTTCAGCCCGTCTCATATCAAGTTAATCTCTTCAACGAGAGCGCCATGCGACAATATACAAATGCACCTAGTTGCACTGTAAATTTTCGCCATTGTGTATCTAAATTGTCGCTGCTCGGCTACAACTGTGATATCAGCTTTTCTGACGGTGACAGCCGCAAAGGTGCTTACAGTGCTCTGAAACAAGGGCGACCTGCAATCGGCTTTTGACCTTCATTAGCGAGTTGTTCTTGTCGCGTTTCGTGCATGTTCCTCTTCCAGGACTTGTTCCTAGCGCGGTCCTGGTTCAACAAATTCAGTACATCTTAAAGACTCGAATCCAGCTACTACGAATTGAACACTAGCGTCGACTCGGAGAGGTAGAGCATCCTTTGAACAAGCCGCAGAATTCTCGTCTGCCGCTAGTCTTTGCCGCTAATTCAATCAGTCACCAATATAGAAAGTCACCTCCCCAAAGATGAACATATTGGTCTTCTTCTCGAACTAGCCCGAATGAGTGAGGTGAAGAAAAAGAACGAAAAATGATCTCGTAAATTACCCGCGACCCATTGACGAGCTAGCAGAACTCTAGAAAGACTCCGCAACAGCGCGGCGTTGTCTTCGCTGCGAGCTAGCAGCCGTTGAAGCCTTGTACCTTATCTTCGTCTTGGTTATTCTCTGCGAAACCGTATTACGAAAGCTCAATATGCGTGCGTGTGTGAAACACAGGCACCGATACATAGAAGCACTATACTTTAGGAAAAAAAAATTATCGAAGTAAAAAAAGCGAGTTCTAACGCTAACTCCAGGTCCGAGGTCGCAGATTCGCTGTAGTCGCATACCCGGCGTGATCCCCCGCTCCTCGGTGTGTGAAGAAGTAAAAGGTGCAATAAGAAATGGGTCGTGGCAGCGCGAAACAACACTTTGCCTATTCTCGGGCCACGTCAAAGGCAGCACGTGCTTTCACAAACGCATTGATAGGACGCGTGGTCATTCGACCATCCATATCGGGACACGGACAGTAGCAATGGCTGCGGTAAAGTTTTGTAATTATGCACACTTTGTGTAGCATCTATAGTGGAGAAGACCGCATGCACATTACACAGCTAGGGCACCATGCAAAGACAAATGAAGGGTGTTTATTGCAACAATATAAGTTTTTAACTAGAGTGATACATCCATAGATAGATCGTGTTTATATACATACATACATACATACATACATATATATTATTGGTAAGTATCGCTCAAAAAAGTAGAAGGGAAATGAGGCACTGATGGATAATATGGTGTCTCCTAAATAACTGCGCATAAGCAACCATGTCTAATTGTGATGATTGAATATGTTCCGAAAGCTTGAATTGAAAATTGAATATGTTAATGTGCAGAGAATTAGTTTTATTAAGTGGTTACGTACAACACTTTTTAGCCAAGAAGTTGACTCATTTTTTAAATGAACTGCGTTTTGGCTATTAGCTTACATTATATATATTTTGAGGTTTAGGTTTAACCTTACTGCGAAGTGTGACATAGTCACCGATGACGAGGAAAACATTTTTCTACTACAAATATAGAAGGTGGGTTCATAAAGGACAAGGGTTATACCATCCACTTTGTTCTTCTAACAGGGGAGCTTTGATCTTCCGTTTTATTACTATAGAACTTCCAGAACGTTTGAGATGTATACGAGTCAGTAATTTGGTTTGATTAGGGATTCAGGGTTTTCTTTAGACAAAATGTTGAAGAAAAATGCGGAAATTATTTAAATAATAAATGGAACAAAGTAACCATCTTTTTTTTTCTATATCACAGTGTCGCCGGACCCAAAGCTATATTCGCAAAAGCAAAGTGAGCGTAAAATTACATTTTATAAAAGTCATTGCATTGAGTTATATTGCATGGTTACCCGGGGACCTTCTGGGTCACGGTGAGGTAAAGGTCTATTCTACAAAAAAAAAAAAACTGAAAGAACTAAGGGGCCTCAGAATAGCAGTCAGCTTAGCAGGGGTTCGTATATGTGTATATATGTCAAGTTAAACGAACACATCGTCTTTTCGTACTCGTTGTACCCTATATCATTGTCGTCGTCGAAATGTGACACGTAGAGTCCCTAGAAAAAAATTTGATGACCTTATTGGTATGAGATGAAGCGACATTGTTGACATCCAAGCATGATCCTAAATAGAATGCATGATAGATAATTATTTATACCATTAAAAATGATAGTTATACGGGCTTCATTATGGTTAAGTTGGTTTGGAAGAGTGGTTTTTACTGCTCTTTCTAATTTCCTAGACAAAATATAACTTGTGGATGTGTTAGTAGCTGGAGTATTTAAAATTCAACTTGCGGTTACATAATAGAACTGCATGTGGATTCACATATAGTAAATAAATCACAATTTTTACCTGTCGAATTTGGCTGTAAACTAGTATGAAACACCGTATTATCATCACAACTTGCTCTAAGAAGAATATCACGCTGTTTTTAGTCTCGTTGAGTGATTGACGTTTTTTTCCGTAGACGTTACAACTAATACTTTCTCGAAAATGAATGAATCGTCAACCAGCGCACAGATGCATCGTCCGGATGGCTAATCCGCATCACTATAAGTGCGCTTCGATGAACTAAAAGGCCCGGTAACACGCTGGTTCAAATCTCAGCTTTTGCAAAAAACAAAACCTACCAGATATTAATCGTACGACAAACGAGGTACTGCTACGAAGGGTAATAGTCGTGCCTGTATGGTTGCCATGCTATTCCATAGGTCTATTAAAGAAACCCTAGACAAATAAAGTTCTTGATGCCCTATCTAAAAAGAAGTGATTCCGAAGACTTATTCACATAAAAAAATAACTAGAAACACTGAATAAAATTAAAAACGCCGAATTCTTGATAAATATATTGATATATTTTTTCCGTGGTACCGGCTGTTTTCGACAATATGTTTAACAAATGTTTACGAATATAGCTTTGTCCTTCCGAAGCTCTAAATCAACGTTTCCTTTGTAGAAAGAAAAAATGATTCATACAACCTTGTTGTCTTCTACGTATAAAACAAACTGCCAATAGTAAAGTACTCGCGAGGGCCTCAAGAAGAGGTTCGATTTGCTGGAAATCCAGGCGTGTCGCTCATATAGCAAAAAGTATGAGGACAGAATAGCGAACCAAAAGGTAGCCAATGTATTTAGATAGAAATTTCCTCCGCTTTAAGAAGATTATACGTCCAAGCATTATATGTGAAGCTTGTTTTACATAGCATTACAACCACATGCTTTATTGTCTCCGCCGCCGGTAATTTTCATAGAAGTTTCGTCAGTAGAAATACAAACGCTAATATCCACAAGAAGCTCTCACAGATTAGTTACGTTTGCTAATTTCTTCCAGCTTCTACGCGCTAGAAAATTGCTTACTCAGGGATAGCAGAACTACATGTTTCCTACCTGCTCCTCATATCTGCTCGTTTGATCTCGCCGATAGTTGACATTTTCGTTCCTGTTCGCTTCGCCGTTACAGCTGTTCATTATTGTCTCATTTTCCCTCTTATCGTGTTTGCCGAATCCATTCGCAGTTCTGCAGAAAGGCAAAAGCGGGACCTTAGCAAGGACGGGCGTTGTCCTTTCAGGGGAAGCTTGGAGCTGAGACTCTCCTATTCGTAGTACAGATACAATAAAATACGATCATAGCATCATTATCACTATATTTCTCTACCATACAGCTTCTCTACAACGGTAGTGGCCGTAACAATAAAAACATTGACACACACACGCGCTCCCATAAGGACACAGTACAACGCATGCCTCAAAGCTATTCTCATCCGAAAGTACATGATGGATGCGTGGTCGCATTTTGGAAAAATGCTGTATCTCTGATAATGTGTCGGCATGGTCCTGTTTATGCTCGCATATGATAATCCATCTACATATGTTTGCTGCGTGCACTCGTCTGTGCGCGTGCTATTGTGCATCTGCATATTTGCTCTTCTTGTTTTCTAGTTGTTTCGTGTTATCTTCTGTTATGGTTTTCTTTCGTTTCTAAATTTTCTGCTAACTTTGTCCCAGTTTCTTTCTTTTCCTCTTCCCTTTCCAACTGGTTCGACAATTTCTAGAAACATTTCCGTTATCGGCCAGATTCGATCACTCTGGAAAAGCCAATATATGTATATATAAGTCAAAATGACGCAAAGGGGTAAAAAGGAGGAGCGTAAAGTGGTCGAAGATGCTCATGTGTGACTGAGGTGTGGACGGCTGCGATGGTGGTTTCCTGCCCAACTCGATGTGCGCTGATATGTGAATCAAATGTTAGGCCTAGGAGAGAAGTGGCTCACCTTACTCCTGCTAAGGGCTGGCGGTCGATGTCATCTTAAGAATACGTACGCCCTAAGGCTGGCACTTTTTTAAAGTGGCCTGATAGTTCTTTGTGACTGAACCGGTGGCCTTTAGTTTAGGCAATACAACGCGAGCAGAGTTTGCTCTGCGGGATCATACTGATTATAACAGAACAGATGCAACCGTTGTTTTCCTTAGGTTTTTCCTGACTCTGTCAGTGGATAAAAAGCTGAAAAATTCTAACCTTTGTGCCAAGGAAATCCGATCGTGTGGAAGACGCTTTCGGCCAATAGAAGATGCAGATCTTTTCAAAAGAAAAATAATACATGTCATTAAGCCCTTCGAGTCCTTGACTTAACATAAAATGACTTTTAATTTAGTTATCTACCATAAGCTCTAAGTAAGCACGTGCTATACTCTTACTATAAATGTCTATAAAACTCCTTTGAATTCGTAGATGCTCCACATCGCACTCGCTACTACCAGGAGAGTCGAGAGGGCAAATATCGAGGGCCGTTGTTCGTATTCACGCACGCGCTGTTCTCCATGCCAATGTCGATCTTTTCAGTATTTGCAGCCGCTTCAATCATCTATGGGTAAGCCATAGACACAGTTAGATCTAATCTCAATTTTCAATTCCGCACAAAAAACAGTTGTTTTCTATAAACACAAAATCTTTTCACAATATGAAAAAATGAGTACACAATAACATGTTTGTTGTATAGCATAATTTCGCATATTGAATAAATTAATCAGACTTATTCTTGGGTTGAACGCTATCTTCGTAGCAGTAGTGGTTCAGTTTGTAACTTTTTCTGTATACTTCCATAAGTATTCTACTTTGTTATATTATATGTGCGGATGTAACTGATTTTTTTTTTTAATGGAAATATACTTTTTTTTGTTTTTTTTCGAATTTGGACAATTAGCGTACCTTTTCGTTGAGAATACATCATTGACTACGATAGGCCACGCCACACTAGCTTCCTTACTTTTATGTAGATAAAAATGATCCTCATTATTTGTTTGCACTTTTGTCGGGCAAAATTGCGCGTACAGCCAGAGACGTTTAGAGGCATATGGTACTTTCTCAACTGTCGGTAACGTAATTTCTAGGAAATAGCATAGCAACACTGAGAAACAGTTTACACAATGACAACATCCCGCAACACTAGTTGGCCCGGTAGGCAGTATAGAAATCCCCCTGATTTATGTGCTGCCCATAGTCAACACGCGGACCTTCTATAAAAGAGACGGTGATAGCACTAGATAGCATGCCTTATTACAACGTCAGGTTTGCCGTATTGTTCCTTTACGCATTTATAAGTTAGCGGAAGGGTGGCCGGAAAATAGCGACGCCGAAAAGATATAATACGATTATTTCGGTTTCCACTTTGCACCCGACAGGATATGCAAAAGTACTGAGTGATGCCGGAACCTGACAAGACAAGTGTTGTACAGTGTCAGATAAATACTGTAGAGAAGTAAAGGGTGTCCCATTTAGCAACACATCTATTATCTCAGGTCGAACATTGGCCAACACGAAGTAGAGTTCTGGGTGTCTCCGCTAGCTTGACTGAGGGGTCTGAATTCGGGAACTTTGTCATTTACGGTTACTTTATTCTCCTACAGGGTGTTCCAAAGGAAAACCCGAAAAAGTGCCATGGGATGCTTGTCTCAGCAAGTGCGGAGAGAGTGACCACTGTAACAAGCATACCCAACATAAAGTAAAGAGCGCCGTTCTCGTAATAGGGCGTCAGATGCAATGGCTGTTTTAGGTATTCGTTGCGGATCCAGTTGAAATTACGTTTTGTGCGAGTAAAGAGCCTTCTGATGATTTTATAGAGATGCTATGTTTATCCCAGCACAAACCTGGTATATCATAAGGCGAAGTCAGCGATGGGGCGGCATACATGTCTACTTCGGGAAGCTGTTTTCCTAAATCATGCTTTTTTTGCTGTGGTTAAAATTTGCCTAAACGCATTTCCCATAGACATCTTTGAAGGGTACACAGCATGCTGCTATGGGATCAGCGCCTTCACTGCTAAATCGCCCCGTACCATAGGCATTCCGTCCAGTGCTCATGTGTGAACGTCAAAATCGGCTAACCTATGTACTGTAACTTCCTTGGCTATTAGCAAAAGTTGAATGGGCTAAAAAAAACGAGGGAAGCGTTATTGAGACACTCTGGCAGAGAAAGCTGACGAGACCTCGGAGTTCTTGCTTATGCACCCTTACTGCTATGGGGATGTGATAAAACTCTGATGAGTTTTCCGCTGTCATGCAGAAAAAGTGTCTTACCACATATATCAGTCTGGCCAGGTGAGATTTTCGAGAGACGAAGTAGGAACGTCTCGATTCACCACATGGAAAGATGTTGTTACCTTCAATCGATGATGCTGTCTCTTGGACGGACATAGCGGACAACAACGGTTATGAAGAAAAAAAGGTGAGTATCGTGGCCGTTATTGTCAGCCAGCGATACCTTCGCTTTGCCCACTCGTCAACATTCTTGCTGTTCAGTAGGCCGAATCCTTGTATGTTTCGTTGCGAGTCGACCGTTCACTCCGCAGTAGTGGTGGTTAAAACTGGGTTGCGTAGAATGTGCATGTAGTGCTATATGTATTCGAAATCGTGGACGAGGACCCTAGTAAATCTCCAACGATTGAGTCTACCGTGAGGTCGTCCCGCCTGCCAGTTACTCAGTTTAAAAACGCCTCGCGATGTAGTAACCTTTATTGGACCAATGTAAGCGGTAGCTGAAAGTTGGAATTTTTGAATTATTGGAACACCATTCAAATTATTATTGCTATATTTGAATTGTGGCAGCAAAAAACATTTTTTTAAGTGCTTTGCAGTAGCCCGAATTCAATATGCCCACATGCTTTCGGAGATACAAAGTATAAGGTTTTTATGCGAAGTTATAGTAACTCAATTATATTACAGGGCATAAGAAATATCCACGTTAAGTTTATATGTATACAATGCCAAAAAGTTGCATGTGTATGTATATGCAAAATGTTACAACGAGCAATTGTTAACGACAGGATGGTACAGACTTTTTGTTGTACTTCATATCGTTTGAAGCATTCTTAACGATATGAAGTCCGGGTCCATTTCTATTTAGGTAAATAATCTTTTTAATAATTGGCTTTGTTAGATTATTTTGCTCGAAATGACTGCACAAGATTCTTTTGAAGCTGACCGTTTGAAGGCGCTTACTTATTTGTCATAAAAAATATACACAAAACACTTGAATTTCATTTTCGATGTATAGATATGTCCGCAATATCCAAGCCTATTAAACCAACGTTACATCGAGCTCTTATTTCAGCCAGCCTGCTAAAGCTGCTAACTCAGAAGATTCACAGCGCATTATGGGTGTCACTATATTTTTAAGCTTTCCTTTTGGCGGCATGTTGAGCTTCATTGATGCCTTCTCATCAGCAGCATACAGGAGTATGGCATACAAAAGATATGATTGTATTCCGATTCACCGTAGCCAACATAGTAATAGCAGTTGTTGTATCCTACTATCCTCTCCAGCGTCGTCACTATTGTCAAAATATTATTGTTCCCTTAAGGAATATTATACGCTGGAGTAGAAAGAGCTGAAAACTTGTAGGTTACGCTATGCCAAAGCGTAACAGAGCGTGATCGCTATTACTTTGTCAACGCCATTACTTTGTTGTTCGCGTCTGCTTCAACTTTCCTTTTTCTTTCCCTAACTATTACCCCTCTATCGCCGTGTACCTTTGTTAGTTCCCATCTGCGACAAATTCGCATCGCTTCCACACCCGTCGCCTCGCCCCCCTTCGACAGGCGAACTCCTTCCATAATTCATCGTGACAGTTTATAGTCTTCTTTCTGTCTATTAACTACACATTGAGCCGTTGTAAGTCTGCGTAGTATGACGACACGTCGGAATCTACCACTGGGGAAGCACCTGAAGGAAGCAACCTGCTTACCCCATGGGTTCTCCTGTTTTGCTATGATTTTTGTGGCTTTGCTGTGAGTCGAGTCCTGTCGTAGATCCGCGTCCGTTGTTGTTGTTATTGTAGAGTCTAGTCTGCCTTTTCCCCCTGGCCTCGGAGCAGATGGCGAACCGATGTTAAGACAGGATTGCTGAACTCCTTCTGGCTTAGCTAGTGTGTGTTTTAGCCTTACGGTGATTCGTGCTAATAGCACTAGACACTGCCAGCCGCTTGCTATTGAGAGCTGACAAGCCTTCGCACTATTTTACCCGCACTTTTTCTCTCTTTTTTCCTTGATCTCAGTGAGTAAACGTGGAAGCGTGCAGTTCACAGACACGTCTACATAGTAACGCACGAACTGGAACTGTTGCTGTTAGGGAAGCCGCAAACGAGCTGTCAACAAGACAAACGATGTTCAAAAGGGCACACGGTCGGCACAGCCATGAAGGGAATAGATGATGTGGAACGTCATGGGTTTTAAAGGGGGCGAAATGAGGGAAAGTGCAAGCAAAACGAAGAGAAATGAAGATGCCTGTTAAGGCTCAGGGAGACGCGCCATTGTCAACAGGGTCTGCTGGCATTGTCATCACCAGCGTCATCATCATCATCATCATCATCATCATCATCAATGTAAAACAAGACAGCAGCCGTGCATCGCGCCGAATGAATGCCAAGGAATGAAAGTGTCCTACTGATCCTTCATGCGTATTTGCTAGTTGGCTCTCGCCGGAGGAGAAACGCTCGCCGGGAATGAAGTGTAGCTGTAGCCCTATGCATTTGCACAAAAAAGCAATATTCTCTAAGGAAACTTGAGCCTTGAAACTTATTCATAACTTAATCAATTTTAGCTGAAACATCACAACTAGTCAAGGACTACAGTATTACTAGCTTTGAAATTTAAAGATTTTCATAGTATGGGAACAAAAAAAGAGTGCTCTATACGAGTCATGTTAGTACTTACAACAAATCTATCGGGAATTAGTAAAGGCTACATAATTGCGTCTAAGGCATGGAGCTTCAAAGAATAAAACTGTCCTCTTGACTAACTGTTTTTCTGCGTTATTAATTAGTTGAAACTTTGTTGCTGTTCGAAAACCATTAAAATTAACGGGTCTTACACCCGTTCGCTGTAAGAGCTAACCGTCCATTATGATCGCTGACGTTTCGCAGACGTATAGGTGGAGGGTGCCTGTATCACGCAAAGACTCCACGATCCTCCGCGAACAAGCACCTTATGTGTGTGTACGCCTGTGTGTACGCGTTTGCATGCCTATATTTGTTTGTACGTACGGTAAGAAAATATGCAAGAGAAGATACTTTGGACATGGGGTTCACAAACTGATCGAACTAAATATTGGTGCCTTCATGACGCTTTTGGAAATGTTGGTTAGTTAGCAGTCGAAGTCCGAAGTGATGATTGTCATCGAATCATCTTGGTAGGCCGCTGTTTCGACCTGCCTTTTCATCTTGCCTCTCAAGGAGGCATTTACATCTATGAAGACTTGCGAAGTCGTTTTCGTCTTCTGTTAGCACAGACACTTTAATTGCTTAGGCAGAAGGAGCACAGTGGGAATTATAGCTGGGCAGTTATATAGTGGCTGAAGTCATCGTCCGGCCTAACTGACCCTAACGTCGTGGGTTTTCAGAGAATCCGATGGCGGCTTTGCCTAGTCCTGCACCACTGCACAACGTACTTTATTTACTATGCACCCTTTAACATTGTCGGGTAGACGTAAACATGGAGTTTATTAGGCCGTTGTGTGTAGTATACCTAACAAGTAAACTCCTCCTAATCTAGGTGTTCCATAGGTGGTAAAACGGTAGCTACGACACTTCATTGAAAACAGGTTGGCGCGACGTTGTTGGAGAGGTGAAAATTAAAAAAAAATCAAGCCATCTGTTGAGCTCTACGCAAAAATTAAGTAAAATATACATCGTATATCTTGAGTGCATGAAAATATACGTTGATTTGATATGTAGGCTATTAGCCATTTTCAGACCGTGATCATGATGAGGTCAAATTGTTTTGGTTGAAAAATGAAGACGGGATACCTGAAGTTAGCTTTTAATCTTGCTATTATCGGGTTGATAGATTATTCTGCAGTGCAACATACTCTTGTTTTTATTTAAGGTATTGAAAAATTGTATATATTTACTCATCGTTGTCAACGTGCACGGTGGGTATTTATATGAGTACGTTTACATTCAACTATTGTAAATCGATTCGTTATTTTATCCTTCTGTCCATACAGAGCGTCGGAGCTGCGTCCGCAATGGGAACGGTGGGCACCTTTCTGCGCGATTCTCTGGTGCTGCTACGCCTTTGCTGAGCAGCAGACTGTAGCGCTAATGATGGTCATTCGCTCATCATATACCGCCTGCGTTACTTCTATCTATTTCCTGGCCATCTACATCACTCTTGCGTCGGGAGGAGTCAAGTAAGTTGCCATCTCTATGTATATATATATATATATACTTCGCAGAACTGACTGCCAAACAAGATTTTTGCAGTACTCTATCTGCCTCAATTAAGTTGCATGTGTCATACTAGTTTCGTTCAAGAAAGGAAGCCAAACACTTTACCCTGCGTTAGAAAGCGAGAATTTTTCTAAAACTGTAAAACGCCGGTTAATTATTTTAGATTCAAATAATGCCAATAATACGCGAAAGACGCTGTCAAGGCTGATCAGTAGCAATATTTAACCTAAGAAACCCTATTTTATTTACTAGAATAGCTCGATGTCCTCTCTGTGGTTAACGGTCAATGAGCAGAGGAGAATGCCCTTGGACAAAAATGTAGGGCTGACCCCCTCATGCATTCAAGGCGTTGGAACAGAGCGAACGGGCAGGTCTGAAAAGGCTGCCAAAATTCGTTGACATTTGCCTGCCAAACTGGGTCGTAGGGATCAGGTGGAAACTTCATTCATTCGCAAAGGATAAACTGGGTGTTCTGATTGCTCTTATTTAATGTAACTGTTATTCTTCAGGGCTATAGATCGGACGTGATACTGTATTTTCCGACGGATAATGACAACAAGGATTTGCTGCCCGTATTATTCATATTATATATCGCATTTATAATAGAGTAATTATCACAATTAATCAACATTGTTCGTCCAGTAAATAACATGTATTTGTAAAAAGGTGTATTAATATAAGATGTATAAAAGGCAATTCGGCTAGTGACACATAATAATACTGCGTATCTAACGTTGTGGGTCCACGACATTCAATGAAAAAAACTTTATTATATATATATAAAGTGGCAGCTTATGTAAGAGTGAGACGCGCGAAAATATGGATGAAATGGAGGGAATCATTTATGAATCAGTTGTAGGCGCGGTAACATGTTAAGGAAAGGGATAACTGAGCGCCGGACTTTGTTTCCTGTACTCATGTATCTGGCCCATGGACAATAGCTAAAAGGCATGCGTATGTACGAGTAGGTTTCCAAGTCATAAATGGACCATTCAAAATCAAAACACAGAATAGAATATACCTAAGCTGGCGTCATTCGAGTAATTCGACGTTCAATGGAACCAATTTTTACTCGGTCTTCATTACACTTTCTTCAGTTTAAGATAGGTAAACTGGCACGTGGCAGTTGTAATCATTAGAGATACAATAGCTACAAGTGACTATTAGTGGTAGCTTTTGAGGATAATGGTCTGCAGTAGCCTCGTTTGTGAAAATGTCTGTTAAAGAAAAAACCAGGTAAAAGAAACGTACCCGTTTTTCATCCTGTGTTGATACCTGATCTGCGATACCTCCTGTCGTGCAAGTAGAGGGTACTATTTCGTCAATATGTTTTACTGGCTAGGTGCAAACGTCTGCCCGTTCATGGTTGTGCCGTACGTTGTTTACTAACCTGAGACGGCCGCCGTGTAAAAATTATGTATCAAGTTTCGCAGCGAAAAGAAGTTTCATATTCGAGCCTTATTTGCCCTTCCCGTCACCACAATGTGCTTTTAGGTGTTTCAGTCGATTCTATTCGTGCTACTATTACACTATGTATGTCGTTCATTGATTAAATTCAAACCGCTCGTCCTTGCTACAAGGCCGCTTATGGGGTACCTTCATCGTTCTCGTATATATGGACACATACGCTGGATGCATCAGTGAGCGTGCACTTATATCAAAAGAGCCTGTGCTGACACGTGAGCCTCTCGGCGCGCGCGTTTACCACTAAAGTCAGATCTCTTCTTACACAAGCCTCTGGCTGCGCCGAAATTTATGGCCACCATCGACATAGTCGAAGATGACATGTAAAATCATCGAAGAACTGCCATCGTGCTACGAGGATGATGTATTGGACCATATTTGAGAAGCCCAAGTTTTTAATTCGCTTTAAACGCTAAAGGGAGCCTTCTATTGCGGCTTTGTTAGCGTAATTGGTATAATCCATCGGTTCATGTTTGCTAAGTTGGAACACGACTGAAAAGAGGTCAGTTTTTTTGACACACGTTGCACAAGCTGTCCTTGAAAGAGGAGTCATTTTGTCACAAAATTTCAGCATCTACAGATACTGGGCTTAAAGTAATAATAAAATAAAATAAAGTAATAAGAAAAGTGCAAAGAAACGATGAACAGCCTATGACAAACAATTTAACTTCAAATATTGGCTAACTCTGTGTGGCAACAGTAGGAATGTACTGCTCGGCGGCACTGTTTCCTATCTTATTTGCATTAGAAAAGCTTGTCTTAATCTATTTTCAATAATTCATAGTTAAAGGGTTGATTTGCTTTTGTTCAATAGGTCGCTGGTTGTAATGCCTGATTGGGCCTATTATGCCAGCTATGGAGTAATGCATCGTTACGCCGGAGCTTTCCTTTACCAGAACGAGTTCGAAAACTACGCTTCACTCGATTACGCTCCGTCTATTAACGGAACCTCCTGTGGACCCAATGTGGAGCCTGGCCGTTGTTATTTCGTGAGCGGGTCGCATTTCATCTCGCAGAAATACCGCACAGGCCGTGGTACCCTGCACGTCGACCTGCAATACTGGCTCAACTTTGGCCTGTCTTTCGGCTTCATCGGTGCGATGTATCTCGTCAATGTGATCCTCCATATTATTCCGCTTCCGGCGTCCGTGAAGATTAAGTTTAGGGACTAAAGTATATTGTGAATGCTTAGCAGCTTTATAATAGCATACACTTAGTAACAATAATCGTTTCATACTAACGTAACGAAATAGAGTACTATTACGGGGCTTGATTTGCAGGTGGAAGTAGAGGTTAAATAGCTGGGTTGTTTTGTCTCTTCCCTTGAAAGAATTAACAAACCACTGGCGCCAATGCATTATGTATATTATGTTTGCTCATAGAAAAAAAAAAAAGCTATCAGGAAACTAAATCACATTTATATTTCACTGACTATGGAAAAATTCAGTCTGTATAACATGAGCGTGACCCTTGGAAAAATACAATATCCAAGCGACATCTGACTTAAATGTAAGTTGGACAACGGTCATTTAGGAAATATGTCTTTCACCGAATCTACACCTGGTCCTTTTTACTACAAGTCATGTTTTCTGTTCGCCTTATCATGTATTGCTACCCTTGCTTCTTTTATTGCCGAGATGTAGCTAGAGTTGTCAGATACAGTTGTTTACCAGCGAGAAGGTACGGGAAAAGTATGATGAATTATTTATTGAATGCACATACGCCAAATCCCCTAAGCACTGTATACAGCAGAGACGAACGGTTCCCGCAAACAGGATTGCAAAACGAAGGACATACAAGGGTGGACAGAAACAATTAATATGTCTACATTACAGATCTGTCTATGCACTTTCCACGGCTCTATCTGTCTACTGCTGTTAGCACCACTACCCGGACAGATTTACGTAGCTAGGCCGAGTATGCCCAACACGATTTCGTCACGGGGAACGACATGTGTGAGTGATTATAATGTTAACGAGGGTAAGATATACATGCTGTTGCAACAGTTAAATTTTCGAATCGGGCAGCAATAAATCCTCAACTTTTCAACGTCTGAAGTCATCGTTATTCGTTCGGCTTACTAAACACAAAAATCCACACGAGTCAATGTTTATGAATTAAATAAGTGAATTATAACGGTTCGAAGCTCTCAGCATCGATGCTATTATCATAGATCCTTAGTTCGTGTTCCTGTTCGCATCGGTTCACTCTAACACGCTCAATAGGGCGAGTACGAAGCTTCGTTCCAAACTAAAAATCAGTAGAGAATGTAAGCACGGTCCACGCAGTCAAGAGGCAAGAGCTGGAAGAAGCTACGCATGCGCGCATGGCACCGCACACAACGTCTCTCGACAGCGTCGAGAGGCTTCGTTTTGGACAAATACCCATGAATTGGTCAAGTGGATTAAATTTCTCCTGTAGCAATATAGCCCTCCCTGTACAATATTACTTATATGCTAATGGAATTTAAAACCAACTCCAAAGCTGTTGTACTCTTTCTTTGTGATAAACAAGTCTTCACTGCATTTAGGATAGCTTTTTCAGCCGACCTGATGTTCCCTCTGGACGACTGGATCTCGATGTAGCCTTACGACTTGAATAAACGGCTTGTGTTCAGCACAAGGGCAGAACGAACGCCTCCCGGCGAAGTATGACACCTGTGCTTAAAAAGCTCATCTCCATCCAATTATGCATTGCAGACTCGTTTAGTGTATGTACTCCTTATGCATAGAGCACAAAGAGTACTTCTACCGATATGCCAAGAACATAAAATTGGCTTGCATATGATTGAAAACCGAAGTGTGTTCGTATATATGTATGTATATATATAGAGGGAGGATCTTTTTTCTGGCTAACAGTGCTGATCGACGTGTACGGTAGTAGCGACAACAGAATAGAGCGTAAACAACGATGCTGATACCGGCCGACTAGCTTGGGGCGGCGACACGATGTGCTGGTTTATTTGATCTTAAATGAATAAGCTTGATTGATGTTACGTATCTCTGAAGTACTATGAAGCACACTCAGTATTCGGGAAGAATATTGCCTAGGTTAGAGTGCTCCATTCGTCCATTGGGAGCCCGTCCCGCCTGGTGTCCCAACTTAGTTTTGTCTGGTAAAAAGCCTTTATAGCTCATAAGCTTTAAAATGCGGTAGAAAAAACTAAGCGGTCGAAAATCGTCGGAGCTCTTGTGGTACGCTCGAGTCTCACATGTTCTGTGCGTGTTGTAAACCGGTAGAAAACCAACTTGCGAGCTATAGCTGCCACGAAACATTCAGCGGATATGTACTCTACCGAAACATTGGCTCAAGCAGGAAAATATCAGTAGATCTTAATTGGGTCGACCAGATACTGTCTGCCCAAACGTAGCCTTAAAACATGCCGCATAATTTTACTATGTACAATTATCGATAGAAATCACACTTGCGTTTACATGCCCTTACTCAAGTTGACAGTGAGTAAACTTCGTTTCAATTTTTATCACGAGCTGCGTTTCTTGCTTTAATACCTTCAAGACTTGTCCAGCACGCCCCGACATTGCCTCCGAAACAACAGTAGTAGCACGTTTCTTATTGCCCCTACTTACGCTGCTACTACAGTTGTAATTAATAATCTGCCTTTGAAGCGGAAAAGCGATTATTCTACCGTCGCCATTTTCAAAAATATGAAAGCAAGCGACAACAAATATCCATCGCTATCACTGCTAACAAAATAGTAATCCTCTTGTAACGATATGATCATCAACTTTACTTTGTCGTAGATACGATTGCTCAATTGAATTTCGACAGTCGGCAGCACCGAAACGATCCGCGGTACTCCTCAAGATCGACGACCGTTTATGCACGGTCATTAGTTGAACAGACACTGTTGAAACACGATGGCCGAAATTAAATCTTGCCAGTTACACAATATAACATAAATAAATTATCGGCCTACAGTAACGGCAGGAATTAACTCGCGATACACAAAAATAGCATTAGATACCGCGTACTTTCGGCAGCGAACCTAAACAGACACTTTCTCTCTCTCTCGCTCTCTCGGTTGGGAATACCTACGGAGCCGCCGACAGCGATAGAAGTAATGTAAGCATCGTTTTTTTTTGGGGGCAGCACCGTCGAATTGTGTTTCGTTCGTTATATAATAACGGCGTTGCGGTAATTCTCATTCCTATCAAAAGCCTAATAACATTGCGGTGTTTACAATCTGGTCCGAGTTGTTATCATGGGCGCAGTCAGAGGAAACGGGCCTTCACAGATATTGCAAACTACAGTGTGAAGTTATTAACGAACTCAAACAGCAGATGTACCTTGATGTGTTTCTATGGCTGAACTTGTACGCGGCTAACTAAAACTGCTCGATAGCTTACGGAGTGGCTCATCGTCTCCTAGGGAAGCTTGAAATACTGATATGGACATTCATAGCGGATAGCTGAGTGAAGTCCGTTCAAAAAGCCTTCGATGTACAGCGTATTAGGGTATCAACTGTGACAATGCTCCGAGTCGCGAACGCCGTTGTAGCAGTTGTGGCAGTTTGTCTGGTGATGGCAAGCTGTGTATTAGCATCGATAAGGAGTGCTTCTGCAGGCGCGAATTACAAATGGTTTCAGCCTAACCTCGTGCGAAGAAATGGCCATAGTCATCGTCATCATCACGTGCGTACACATGTCGATGTCCTTGAAAACGGTGAGTTATATGGAGTTCGGCAGGTTCAAATGGGTAAAAACGTCTCTATCATCTTTATCTTTCGAGATACTTACTTCAAGTTGGTATTTCTTCGTATTAGGTTCTTTAAACGTAGCCCATTGTTACCTCCGACTTAGCGTGCCGTAAGATTGTGCACAAATCAGCTAGATCGTTCATACAATTAGGGAAGAGAACTATCATTGTCTATAGCGCGTTCTACTTCAAGCTCAAATACCGTAGAATAGACAGACTTTCTCTTCCGGTAGGCAAACGTATTCCTCTTAAATCTCTGCAATATATTAACATTCAAGTACAATCAATGCAACCGTATATGAATAACGACGATGCTCTCAAAAATCGAAGCCCTTTACGGTTCTAGTAAAACGTATACATCGGGCCTTTGCCGTCGCCAACGCTTCAGACGCTGCTACGACCGACGTTCGTAAACAGAAACGGTACTCAAATATAACATCATACAATTTTGTACTTTGTATGTTCGCTTTCTCCTTCTCTCTGCCTCTAACCTGTTTAAGATTCGTTTAGCTAAAGGCATCCTTATTCCATACAAGGTATTTTCGTAAATGCAGATCATCTCAACTGTAATGCTATTCCTTCACTGCCGTTAGTACCAATCCATTGAAGTAAGATTTTGAAGACTTTTCATCTGACAACATTTCGGCTCGACTAAAACACATATTCATTGCAATATATCACGTCAGTAGACGCAAAATTCCCATAGCAAACTGAAAAGCTAAGTCACGCGCTCATCAGGCAACATTAAACTACGAAACGTTATTATTCTTCCGTTAGAAGCGTATGATCAGTTAAATAACTAACGTCATCGCTATTCTGCATAAAGGAGCCGAAATATAAAGCAGATTCTAAGTTCGACTGATGAAAATGTCGAGCTGGCCTGAAAATCCAGGTCATGCTTAATTTGTGCCCTTTTGCTGCAACGTCTCATTGACCTTCAGCTAGGCGCGCACAGTGGACTTCCGCCTTTAGAAGGGATGTTTCCCTCTATGATTTTGCCGAATGGTCTCGTATCCACGAGTTGACGGTGTTTACGTACGAGAGGAATAGGAGCTGGTCTCATTCACTTTATCGAAGAGCCATATGGATAATGAAAGTATATACATGACATATATGCCAAATTGAATAGGAATTCCTATTAGGCGTAAAAGGCTAAATAGACCTCGGCGACAAGATCGATAATGAGCGATTTACTTCATATTTATTTACAAAACAACAGGGCATTTGTTTAGACCGAACACGTTTTTCTGATGATTCGCGTAGACTTGACAAACTACTTTAGAGAGGATCCGTTTTTCGGCCTTTTATACGTGCTGAATAAGTGAAATCTGAACAAAATGCGCACCTTATAACTCATACTTTTGCATCTTTAATCAGCACATGGAAAAATCGAAGCTAGCAGGTTTCGGCGCTTCAGAGACGCATAATGACTTGCCTAACATTCATCTAAAATACATTTGCTTCAAAGTGGTAACCTGTAAGGTACGCTGGTATTATTTTTTTCAAATTAGCCAGCTAAACAACGTTGTTGTTCTTTTTTTTTTTTTTTTATTTAACGCTCTATAGAGGGAAATCAAGTTGAAAAAAAGTTCAATATTTGTCATATCGAAGCTCCAAGTAGCAAGCATAATCAATTACTATTCAATTAATTTCTCCATTTTTGCAGCTTCGCATCCACCTGAAACCGTGATTCGCGCACCATCTGTGATTGCTCCGGTAATTCCAACAGTATCTCTCTCTGTTCCAGTACATGCCGTTCCAGCAATCCCCCCTGCCGGTGTATCGACGGTGTACACCCCAAGCGTTTTAACCGTGATGAGGCGTCCTGTCGTGACAGGTTTCCTGCACAGCCCACTTCCCCATCACCCGCCGCCCCTTCCTCCTATTCCACATTCCCCTGTTGTCCCTATCGTTCATCATCATCATACGTCAACCGGAGCCCCAACTCCGGTGCCCGTGTACGCCACCTTTATTTCGCATGGTCCTCCGAATGTCAAACAGAGGACAGTTTTGCTTCATCATCATCATCATCACCATCGCCATGTCGAAGCGAAGGTAATAGGGCGATCTACGAGAACACATAAAGCTTTATGTTAAGCCGACAAGTTAGTAGAGATGCCCTGCAAAGAGTACAGCATACACGACACATCAAAATAATAATAACAAAGTCAGTTTTATGGGATTGAGTGATCTGCTAAATGGCCCCTACAGGCCATTTAGGCACCGCGTAGGTGACGTAACAAGAACGCGTAGGGTCGTGTAACATTGTGAATACGTTCGGTAATGAGTGACGTAACAAGTCATAGAATTTTGTCATTATCGAAAGAGCGTGTATGTTGGCTGCAACGTTACGATATCTAATATAGCATTGTCTTGTTACAGTCTTTGACATTGAACGGTTTGCCGGTAGTCGTGGACCCAGTTGCATATAATCGAAAGTTTCAAAACTCTGCATCCGAGGACGAAATTATTATCAAGGAAAGGGACCTGGCACAGTTACTACACAACAAGTATACCCAGTTTAGCGATCATTCGTTTGAGCCTGCTAGAGGCCAAAGTTACGTCAGACAAGATTACCACGAGAGAAAGAAGGCGAAATTCTACTATTCGGGTAGGAAACAAAGACGGTGTAGGTACTCGCGTGAGCTATGATTGTATAATGCACTTTTAAAATTCACAACTTTTATCACCATGATTGTGAGAACAAGCGCAGCCGATTGCTTGCGCCGTAGTCAACAGTCGCAAATAAATCCAGTTGTAACTATTGACAGCTACACTGATTGAATCTGTCTTCCGTGGCACGGCCTCCGTTCTTGTTTGCATACAGATCGCATACGTTGAATACCCTATAGAGTCCAAGGCTGCGAGCAAGATACCTATGTAAAAATCATGTTTTGAATCATCAGGTGTTTGGATCCAGGTCCAGGAACAGGGCAGGTATAGAAAACGAACCAGGCAAGCCAACTGGATATAAATCAACTAATTTCTAGCAAACCTATGTACACCGATGAGAAGAGGCAGTTGGAAGCTGATATCGAATGAGCTTAGATGCATTTATGCCTGCGTTATTGGATTGCATTTGAAACCGTTCTTACGAGTTCTACATTCATTACATCGCTTGGTTTCTATGGCCGCTGATAACTAATAGCAAAATGATTTAAGCGTACAAGGGTTACACCCGGTCTTCGTTATTGGGTTAACGGGCTGGACAAAGACTTACATCTGCTAGATATCTAAAATGGTGCCATTATAGCCACGTAAAGCAACTCTGTTCCTCGGTACTTTCGAGAAAGTGCTAGGCAGAGTTCTGATAAAAAGCCAGATAGATAGCCGCAAGTAGCGTTGCGACCAGCGAAGACAGGGCTGTAGCGAAACTCAGACAATAAAGTACTATGAACTAGCTGTATTTTGAAGTGGTCAGGCGCAATCTCGAAAGGCGTTCACTCAGCAGCTGAAACACTTCTCGGGTTAATCAAAGTAACAGATAGGCTTTAGCAGTTCTCCCACGCTTGCAGGCCGACCGGGTCCATTTTAATGAGCTCGTTAGTGAGGATTCACTTTTTACTGTATCAAAAGACAGCTGTGTAATAATGACCTAAAAGAATCTAACAGTGACGAAAGAAAACTGCTCCTATGAGGGGTATAGCGTGCAGGTGAACGAATTATATTACTAGGACGTATTAAACAAAGTTGTGGTGTACCTTTCTCAAAGCTTTGAGAGTTATCGAAACTGTAATCGTAGCCCGAACTTGCCGCGGTCAGTTTTATGATTCAAGTTAGCTAAAACTTGAACTTCTATGCTAGAAAGACAACGTTCTTATGCAGTGTGTATATGGCATACGATACAAGATTGCCATCGATCGGTTCCGGTACAGTTCGATGATAGCGAAAGCACGTCCTGCTATAGGCCGAACTGTCAGACATTCACCTTGTGTCAGTTTACTGCTTAGCTTGCTGTATCGTAGGCCCATACGTGACTTGTTCATGTTTGTATGTCGTCTGCTGAGTTGTCCGAGATACCGCTGGAAGGCTCTTTCGGTAGCGTGCGGAGCATTTCGTCACGATTATCATGCTTCGCCTCGTATCCGAGTCGACTTCGGAAACCGATCTAATATTTTGCCGAATGCTCCTTTTACCTTTTTACCATGCTTCCATCATTTATAGCCTCGCTTTTATCTAGACAATACATTTATAACATGTTGAAATTCATTGTATTTTGCAAAATTATACATCTGTTTAAAAAGGCGAACTTTTGTACTGTATATTAAGTGAAGCCAGTATAAATTTTGGCTCTAAATTCTAGGGACTAAGAGGAGTTGAGATTGGAGTAACGTCTAATACGACCAGTGAGTGGATTATATCCTCTGATTTAACACGGTTCTTATTCAGTTTGTCAGCTTTAGCTAGTAATTGATTGTTGGCGAACGAAAGGTATTTCGGTATGATCACACTAACCTTGGACGGCTGTGGGACCCAGCTGGCATCCATATTGCCATGCACTAAAACACCGAATAAACTGCATCTTTTACATTTGAATTATGTAAAGAATTCCGTTTATTCAACGCTTTATTTATTATATAACTAGCTTACTCTGTCTAGGGTCTGCCTCTTACCGATTCTAAAACTAATTAAGATTACATCACGTTGATGCACCGTGTTGAAATTGCATATATATATATATATATATATATATATAAAAGAGGACCTTTTCTCTCTTTAAACAGTTGGCGCGAGAGTTTACCGAAATTCGCGAAAATTACACTCACGACCACGTAATCCAGAGGATTCTGAAGATGAGCTACAACGCCCAAACCCAAATCAGAACAACTACGCGTTGAGGAGTCGTGGCGAACGGATCGACCTTAGCTACGCCGTTAGGGCCGACCGCGCACTAAACGGACGAAATGTCGTTGTTATTATTCCCAAGAAATAATGTCATTGGCCGTATCAACTTCACAATGGACTTATATTGTAAATTGACTGAGTAATCTATTGCTAACAACTGTTTTACGCGCTTGCTTAATGCTGGCCGACTGAAAGTACAATGTTTAATGGCAACATACCCTCAACTTAAGCCCTGGCACAGATGCTGTGCAAGATGTCCTTCGCTACCTATACAACGATGTAAATATTTCGCAAGTTATTGAAAAAATCGTCTTGAGCTTTATGGCGTCGTTAGTCACTAGAAAATTCTTAGCAAGCTTCCTTTCTGTCCAACTCCTTCTTCCTTTCTGTCTGCACTAGCAAGTAAACAGTGACGAGAAAACTTTTTGTGGTATCGTCGATTTTCAACCAGTTCGACCACGAACTATTACATCTTTAATTTTTCTGATTGTATCCATATATCCATATAGGAGATCAGAAGTGACTCCTAATGGACATATATCCATCCATTAGAAGTAACTTCTGATCTCGTGTTATCCGAGTGAAAAATAAAATAAACCATATAGGCGTTACGTGCGTAACAAGTTAATTATTCTAACTAGTTCTACTTAAACTATTTTTTGATAAATTAGTATCGTATTTGTATTATTCTATGCGTCTGTATTATATTCCTATGGGATAACTGAAGTTTGCTATTATGGTAATAAAATGGCCTCGAATGAGCTCTCCTCCTTTTTCGCAATGCACAGTTTAACCTTCCATACTATTCGTCAACTTGACAAGGAAGCTAACCTTAAAAGATGAGCTAGCCGATAGTTCCATCAGAAATAGAGATCATGTAGTGTTTTGCCCGTCAGCTGTTTATGCTTATTCATTTGACTTATTTTGTCTTCCTGTGTCGTGATTTGCTGAAATCGAAAGAAGTCGTCTTCGAATTTATCTCTGGAGAGCGATCTAGTGATGAGCCGGCGTTCTGAGGGAACGTAATAGCACAGAGTCGTTAACTAGTCTTCGTTACTCGTACGCAGAAATCTAGCCTGTTTGCGGTAGGCCGCAAATATAGGCATCTACCTATTTTTCAAATGTGAAGTTTTTTTTCACCAGTACCCGTGACTTGTGCCGTTTTTCTGATTAGGTCTTTTAAAAGAGCCTTCCTCTGTTGTAAGGTAGTACCGCCATTCCTGCAGTGTTACTAGCCTAACGGTGAGCGGGTCGTCGTCGACGGAGTAGTTTCGTCGAAGACATGCGATAGAGGTTGCAGCAGTACTAAATGTCTGAAGGAACGCTTTACGACAATACTGGACGTAAAAGTGGAAACATTTGTTTAGCAGTGATAATCAAAACGAAAGTCAAACGATGATTCAGTGAGTGACCATCTGAGCGCGTCGAGCTCGCAGTGGTGCGGCGTTTACGAACAATGGAAGCGTTGTTTCAAGGGTATACGCCGGGGACAGAGTTTATGTTGCGCTCCGCTGAGCTCCTAATAGAGGGGCCTGCGTACAGAGCCGTGAATGACAGTATATATCGTGGCTGTGGAACCTGTAGTAATAGCGGTAGCAGGAAGAAAGGCGAACGGAACAGAAGCCCGCTCGGCGATGACTGCCATTGAACCGATGACTTTGGTGATCGTGGTGGTAGAATGTGTGCGCGTAGGTTGGCCGGCAGGATGCAGCGACCAGACATATCCAAAAACAAACCATATGGCTGGCCCTTTGGATGTTCACCTTTCTTCCTATTTGTAGATATCAATTTCCGTAGATTCTGTAGCCACCGCTCGGTGAAGAACCATCTCTAATAGCTGCTAACACAGGTAAGTGTGCGAAAGCTAGTCTTTGTCAGATGCGCTAAGCAGTTAACGAACACTGCATTTCAGCTTGTTTGTATTCAGATTGTATTTAGTAGATAGCTGAGTTAATTGCTCAGCTAGGAGCCACATTTGACGTAAAGACTACGCCATGTTAGATTTTAGTTCTTCATCTGCGGTGCAGCTGCTCACTCGAGTAGCAGCTGTTAGTATACCAGTGTAGCATGTCCCGTGTGATAAACACTTATCTGTGTTACTTAATTAGCCATCCTGTTCGGGCTTTTACGCGGCATTACACGATATCTTTCCAGAACAACTGTGTCTCCTCTTAACTTATCTGAAAGTGGTATATTATATATATATATATAAAAACGATTTTTTTAATTGCTATATTTGAAATGGCTCGAAGAACTTGCGTTTCGAGTCAGCTGTTACGTGCACGGTGGACAGAAAAAGTAACGACAACTGTACTAGTTAGATCGATATTAATTTCAACTTACAAAAAATAAGTGCTTCATAGCGTTAGCTGAGTTGATACTACATGATAACATACCGTGTTCCTATCGTCGGGATCTTAATTAGTCGGCGAGATAAAAGCACTAATTTGCCGCATGTCGAACTGGTATAGACAGGTCTGCATGTCAACACGGCCGCTCTATCGAGGCCTTTGTATGCGACCTAAATTCCCAGCATCGTTTCATTAGTTTCGGTCACCGTAGAACAGGCCAAATTTTGGAACATACGTCGGGAAACCTTAGATCTGTTGGAATGTTTCTTGCCGTTGTATTACGACCGTTTTATAAGTCAGCGACCGTTATGCAATCCTCCGCTATGCATCTAAGCTATCGCGTTCAGAGAATTTAGTCCATCCATATTATGATAGGTCCTTTCAAGCTGAGTTATTGGTGTGTTGAGTCATGGGAGAGCCATGCCGGGTCACTGATGAGATCCTTCGGTCTGCACGCGTGGAACGTTCCAAGGGCGCGGCAGGTTCAAAGGCTCGTGTTGGCCTTGTAAAGAGCGATTCAGAGAAGATACAAAAAAGAAAACCGATTTAAACATACGAGCAACCATTAGCTGAAGATAACGTTAGCTTCAGCGGTTAACTTGAGACGGCAACGAAAGACGCAACATTAGCCTTCACTGGAATACAAGCGCTTTTGCTTGTGATCGGTTTTCCGAAATGCGGGTTACTAATGTTTTTCCGCGGTCTTGCCTAAACCATTTTTCTAACTTACAACAAATCTGAGTAAGCAAGTTGAAAAGGCCTTAACGCGGTCAACTTCTCTGCTACCGTTCAATCGAACATTTACCGCACGATCAATGAAATCCAGTGTCGCTCCGAAGAATAAACAGCTAATAATAACAATTAAGTTCTACAAATGTCGTATACAGGTCTACCTACAACGCTCGATTAAATTGCAGGTTTTTAAGATCGTTTAAACGACCAGCTTAAAAAACTAAATTATTAAAATGTTTCGTTCCGTGTTACCAATCGTGCTTCTAAACTCTTCCAAATATAGTACATCAATAGTACGCTTCATCTTGACTACATACATTCAAGGGCTTACCAGCTATTTCTAGCTATGGTACGCTCATTCATAAGGTAACGCAAAGTACGAAGGTTGTTCGAATTACAGGCTGGAAGGCACCGTTCGATCCGCATCCGTGATATAAGCAGTCTTGGTTTACGTGGATATGTTCAGGGCTATAACTATTGAGATGTGCCACTAGAACCGTGCTGTACCTTGTAAATAATAACCATCCACACGAATGGCTTTTAGTTGAGCCATATTTAAAGGGTAGTCGAGGGGGTGCGTGAGAGAAAGCACGATCGCCTCCGGGTGTAGTTATCTATCGCTACGTCAGTTGTTATGTACATGTAGATGTGTATGGTTTGTTAGCGTCGTCTCTATATTATTACGATCGTCATCATCGTGACTAACAGCAGCTGCACTGGCAGTAACTGTATCGCAATATTCGTTCACTTCGCGCAGTCTTCTTTTTCTTCACTGGTCTGCTTCTTCTATGGCGGATGCTGTATCTATTTCAGCCATCGCCTAAGCATGCAACTGTTCCGCAACTCTCTTGGAAAAAGCGAGCTAGACTCAAAGAAGAACCGAAAAAGTCTGTACCTAAGTAACAGTGAAACACATTCACACAGACACAGAAAGGTTGATACCATCACATTTCGAGCATTGATCAGATAATTACTGGAATGAGTGAGAGTGGGAGTGGGAGTTCTTGAGGGCACGATAAAGCTCACGCCGGTAATATGCTGTTATGGCTTGTTTGTAATAAGGATAAGGTAGGAAAAAAAAAAGGACAATGAACGAATGGCAACAGGCCTGATAGCAGATAAGACTCATTAGTCAAGAAGGGCCGCCGTTACGAAAACCGAGTACGAAAACCGAGAAACTCGATGGAGTACCTTTCTGAAACAGTAATAGCCGTTCGTCGTGCTGGGTAAAGAGCGCTTTGCCAAGTGGTGGTAATTTGGTAGTTTCTTCTGTGTAGATACATCTTCATTGTCTTCCTTCATCTTCGTTATAACCACTCGAATGCCCATAAACAATTTACAGATCTCTGGCTAGATACGTCAAGTCGTTCGTCGCTATGACTCGAATGGGAATCAGTATCGTTAGGTCGATGAGCAACTGATGGTTTGTACTTGGTGGTGATCTAACACCTACCCTGGCCGGATGCTAACTTTATAGAACGGTTGTTGTTGAAATGCTTTAATCACTTAAAATAAATAAAGTATTCAGTAAATAATAAAAGAAAGCATTGTTATCGTACGATCGATCGGAGTAACACAAATAAAATAACTATTGTTCAATCGGGAAGTAGTAAGTTGACTTGTTTATTTAGTACACTTATCTTCCGTTGGTGATTGTCGACGTTAGATGCCTATTTAGGGTAATACCTATCGGTTGACTTCAAAGACTCGGACGTCCGTTTCTGTCAAGCAGGTTTTGTCTAATAACATATTATATTTAACACAGAACACCCGATGTCAGGATCGGTTTCGTGTAATTAGTTGAGTTATTTATGTTAAAATTTAATATGTGTAAGTTAATTCCACGGGGCCGACTCGAGCCTTTTCGCACTCAAGCTACGGTTGGCACAGCGTGCCAACCGTAGCTTGAGTGCGAAACAATTGATCATTGAACGCAGGTTCCTTGGCGACGAAGCGTCGCCGTTAGCCAAAGGCACCGATAATAATAATCGGTATTTAGTTGTGTGAAACGGATCCTCGCAGAGAGAACTATAACGAATTCAGTAAACAGCGAACGATGTTATCGTATTAAAACGTGTGTCAATACGATCAGGTTAGACGTATCGCGTTCGTATTTTTGGCTTGAGTGTTTGTGTTTAGCAAATTGGTTTAATTGGCCTTCACAACATCGGTGCGCATACATTTCCTTTTTTTTTTTTTTTTTTTTTTATGGAAATCAAAAACAATAGTTCCTCTACTAATGGCTATTTTCTTTTGGTAAAGATGTTGTTCAATATGCATTGCGTCATTTTCGACCCAGCTGGTGCCTCGTTTTCCCAGCCAATCAAGAAATAGTAACTTTGTCTTGTACATTTTCAGTGTCCCGCTAAAAACTGAGTTACTGAGAACTAGGTTTTCACCAGCTGTTTACCTATCGGAAAGCTGCTTGCTCCGTTTAAAGACATTGAGGCAGAGGTTATATTTACCTAAACTGTCAACACAATATTTGTGCATTCTCGTTGCATCAGTGTGACTCTATGGATCCCTATTATGGCTCACTCATAACGACACACTGAACACTAACATGAGGGAAACGGAGAAAGATTTAAAGAAACTTCCCTTTTTTCTTCATCCGATTGGTCTGTGGCGCATTTCAGAATCATTTTCATAGTAAGCGGAAAGTGAATCGCGCCGGATATGCGTAAGGCTTCCATATACATTACCTTCTGTCTTTGTCAGAGGAACAACGACTCCTCCTATACAGCAAGCAGGTCCATATTCAACTCTTCCTGTGCACATATAGATTCCTGCTTTACTTTCTCTTCTCAAAAGAGCGGAGTTTCCGGAAAGACCAATTGCAACGGTCATACCATCAGCTAAATCGCGGGGGACAAAAATAACCATGAGATACATTGAAACAGGAAAAGAGACGGATACTGAGAGTCTGATCGAAAAAATTACTACAGTAATGGCAATTTCATACTGAGATCTAGATCTATAAAATCGACTTCATGATTAAAATGAATTCTCCAGATCTATATACTCACCATTCCAACTGTGTCTTGTATTAGCACGAATGTACAATATAGGCATCATGCATGAGCTAGCATCAGTACGGACATGTTTTCAAGACATAGGAAAACCCGAGAAAACCAACTGAACGCCGCCCTTTTTCAAGTGAAAACTAAGTAAGCCTACTAGAAGAATTACACAGCCGATGAGATCTATTAATGAACTACTAAAACTGCTACAGTCACATCTATTCAAAACGTACTAGTTTAATGATGCCTTAGGCTGGCTCTGATCGTTTTGCCATCTATAACCATGTTTTCCAAGTCACGCAAGCACAAAATATATCGAAATGCTTACCAACAATCCCATTGGACGGTGATGCTACTAAGCAGGAGAAGATGATGGAAGGCTACACTTGAAACCGAGACATTACACTATCACAAAAGTATAAACAATGGCAAAAAGTGATAAAATTTTTTGCCTATTTCCAAGACTTCAGTTCTATTGGTAATCGTTCGTTTCTATATAAATCAATTGGTCGCTTATTTGTCATGCTGTCAAACCTCAATGGCTTCAGACCTGTTGCATTATTTCTGTGCTAGCTTAGTGTTTGTCAGGGTAAGTTCGAATCCGTGCATGGACACAGTGAACAGAATACGAGCCGTAAAACCCAGTTGTATGCGTTAAACATTTGCTTGAGCGGTATGTTGGGCTGTACTTAATTTTGGCACCAGATACGAGCTATTGATTTTCCCGATTCGTTCGGTTCTAGCCGAGGCATGTTGGCTTAATAGAAGCATGGCACTTTTTTTATTTTTACAGAAAACACTTACGCTCCTATTCGAATTCAAGTGTTTATACCTTTTCAGCTATATCTCCCCGTCCATTCTTCTCTAATCATGATATCCGATAAAAAGTTAGGACGTTTGTAAATTGGTAATTCTCATTTGTTTCGCAAGTTTCGGTGAGGTTAAAACAACTACAAAGCCACGGCTACTAACGAGCCTTTAACGAAACTTTCGTGTTACCTTTATACGGTAAGAATAAAATAGCTCTATTCAATTTAATGTATACGTTAACTTTAATGAAGAAAAAAACTGGCGTCAGTTTCTCCAAAGTTGCTATCTATCTATCTAATTTGAAACTTCCTGCTTTCGGCCGGTGTTTGTGTACTACTGTCTTAAGTTTTATTCCTCGTAACTTCTTTACTACAGCTCTAGTGGATAGCAATAGCAACAGTTATTGGTGTATTTTCTTTGTCACTTACAAATTAGTTTTCCTATATTCGGTTAAAAATTTTAACTTGTTAACCTAGTGCTTCAGGATGCCTACGCTCCTATCCCTCTGAAATCGTAGATTCGATAATCATTGCAAAACCTGAAGCTAAATCTAACTTGTGACGCATGTATTTGCTTAATTACAGGTCACGTGCTGCCTAACTTTACGCTACCGATCTTCGTGGTTATGCGATTGATACGTACCGTGCCTGTCACGCCCACTGAGGTACTCGCGCGCATCCGAATTGCGGCACCGTTTTTAAACATAGCTATCTAATATAATCGGTTGGACTTCCCCATTGTGATGGCAAACACAGGGCGCATAGGCAAACGGCTACACTTGCAATGCCAACGTATAGGACCAGGGTTTTCGAGATTACCCGGAAAATATCAAGCCGCAAAAGCAGTCGAAATCAGCTTGGCTATCACAGCACCTTACAAATCATCACCCCGAGCTCTATATCGCCATTATACGAAAAGTAAATAGAAGATATAGCAGGTTTTTATGTGACGCTTAATAATTAGCATAGTAATTCTAAGCATTAGCTTTACAATTGCGTTACACTTACGATGCAGTCATATGAAGTTTAAGTCGTAGTGTATATACATACATATGCAGGCTATATCTTTGTCACGTGTGTCATATTTTGCTCTCTCGGCGCTACTTAAGTGCGCGCAGGGACCCGAATTAACAAACTGCTATTTCAAGTTCAACTTAAAATACATCCATAAGTGCTTGTGACGTTTTCAGCAATTTTATGATCATGATGGATTTTAGCTATTACAAGAGTATCGCGCGTCGCGAGTGTCGTACATTATGGAACGCGAGGCGGACATGTTTCGTCAGGTAGCCATAGCTGCTCTCTTGTATTAAATCGACCTCAGTGTTGGCCAATAATGATCATATAAGACTGTATCTCGACACTCTCGTAGGAAAGCGGCGTTGCTCAGTTTTTTGTATTTACATATGACTGCGTGTTTATGTGTGTAGAAGTGTCCACTTGGTTACCATAACATCGGCTATCCGTTTACCTGGATGCGTTTGTATATCAGGAGACGCAACATTAGATGTTATTGTTTGTATTGTACAAGAGTCATGCAGGAGTCACTCTGACCTGATGGTGTGTGCTCATGCGTTATTTGTCGTTTAAATGTACCGCCCATTGTTATGTGTCGTCGCCTCCAGAAGAAAATGTCTATCTTACGTTCTCTCTGATCTCCGCCCGGCTACTCCGCAGCGGCCGATCTCTAGAAACGCAGAAGAGATGGGAACAGTCTATTTTTCGAGTACAACTACGAAGGTCTACAGTAAACATGTGCTAATGTGAAACACATACAGCCACAGCCATAGCCATCGGCTGCCATACCTGAATCAACCCGAAGCATTGGGGATCAATCTATGCGACACTAGTACCCAGTACAAACATGTCTGTGGACAAATTCAGAAGTTTAACACGAAAGAAAGTCAGTGGAAAATGCCTTAACTTATAGAGCCCACACAGAAGATCACACCACCTCTTATACGTAGCCTATATCCGTGTCGCTAGCTCGAAGAACTTAAGTAATATCATCTAAGTAAGGCCGCTATTAGCTTACAGCACAGTAGAGCTGATTCAAACTACGAATGAGTGTGTTTGACTTTTGTCCCGCCTTCCAGACCAAGGACCTGCCCCTTTTTTTTTCTAGCGCCGCCTACTACTTCTAAACACGAAGCTACATAAGATTTGAGGTAGAAAAGCAAACTATCACATGCAGAGATTCTTATAGGCGACAGACAAATAGCAGGGTTTTCCTTCTTCTTCATAGGGAAACACGACATTGGTAACCAAATCGAACGTACGTAACGGATTAACATAGGAGCGTTGTGACGATTGTTGCTATTGTTGAGAAGACTCCTAGTACAATGATGCTAACCTGTGTGGAGACTGTAATTCAGCGTGAGAAGAACTGACCCAGTGATACGATAGTGTGCCCAGAAGAACTGCTAGCGCGCTCTGTGGAAAACATTGTATTAAAATAATTAAGTATTATATGGTGCGTTCTTCAGGATTTTCTGTAGCTGTGTGAGACTATGCATTCCGTCGTCCTAAATATCTGTTTTTCTTTTGTAAGAGTTATATACATCTAGCGCAATTACAGATCTATTCATGAGTGCTATAGTTATTCTATAGAACATCTTAAGGTTCGCCAATATAAATTACACGTATGGGTTAAATTCGTCCAGATTATCGTCCAAGATGAACTCTAAATTGTCGATCCCACCTATGTCATGAATTAAAGCCTGCGTTGTGCTTAGTTTCGCAAGCGAACATTTTCAACGTCCGTTTTACTCAGGCCTGCAACCTATTGGTGAAACTAGCGATTCTACTGTATTTACGTACCTGTTCAAAGTGAAGATCCACCTCGTACAAGTAAGATATAGATCTTCGGGCCTCGGACCTTTTTCGTTAGAAATGACTGTTATTAGAATAGGGTATCTTTTATATCGCATATTCTGCGTAACAATTTCGTTACTTCCATAGTTGTATGCTAACTTATATGTATAGGTTTTTCTCCTGACGGTTTTAACATTAGCCTATCTTGTCGGTATTTGTATTCTCTCACTGTACATGATACGTCTATAATGGAGTTCCATAATTATTCTATGATGATGTTATATTTCAACAAAATGACTGAGGCTAAATTGTTTCCTAATCTTGTATCCGGCACTCAACAGCTAGCGGATGCCATCAAAGAGATTGAAGTATATATTTAATGTTTATTCTTGCGACACGTATGCTAATGACAAAACGTGTTTTGTAAGGAATCCGACTCGGAGAAATACTGCCTTCGGGCAGATAAGTTACTGATTCGGTGGCCTACTTATGACTGAAATATAGATAACTGCTTCCTTTTAAACCATAAATATTTAGGCCTCTTCTTCAGTGATGGAATCGTCCGCACCGCGCCTTCGTTCGCCAAAATGCGCTCGTTGTCGCAATCATGGAGTTGTTTCGTCTTTAAAAGGCCATAAAAAACTGTGCAGATGGCGAGACTGTCCGTGCGCGAATTGTCTACTGGTCGTTGAGAGACAAAGGGTCATGGCTGCTCAAGTGGCACTTCGAAGGTGGGTACTCTTCTTCACCCAACTGCCCAATAAAAAATACAATTAAAACGTCTTCTACATCTAAACAATTGCTGATGATGCGCTCGATTGTGAAGACAGTTAGCAGCACTGTTGTGTTACTGCTGGAAAATTTTGAAAGACACACATTAACAACGTAAATATTGACTCAATTTGGGAAGTAGGCAACAACAAGCTGCCGAAAATGCTGCACGTGCCATAAAACGTTTGGCTGAAGATTCTCCGGAAGAAACCGACAGTTGCAGAATTACCCCAACCCCAACCACAGCACATGGGAGAGATGAAACGCCCAGCCCAGGCCACACCAACAACCCATTTCGATACAGTCCTCTAGGTAAGGATTCACTTCGAAATGGTCTTTATCTGTTTTTTGAGGTGTTACTTTAAGACGGCTGTAGAGTTTCTCGGCGAATAATTTCGGCTAACTCTCCAGATTATCTGCCTGCAGATACATAACATCCGTTGATGACCGCAGCATCTATTTTGCGACACAGTATTTTAACTAGTCATCACTCTGATACTCGAATATGCGGATTTCAGATCTCTCTAACCCAGCTGACATAACTGCGCCGACAAATATGGCCGCTTTCCCTCTTCTGTGTTCTGGCATGCTTTCGCCCTGCCCATCTCCTCATGGTCATTCAGTGCAGCAACTTGCCCAATCACCAGATTTGCCCCTTCTGTCGGGAGGTCTCCTCCGAGTGCCATTTTTAACGCCTGAACAGCAAATCAACCTCGTCCTCTTAACTCAAGCAGCAATACGACAACAGCAACAGCACAAACAAAGATCTCAGGACGATAAGGACGCAGGAGGTAATTCGTTCTCCATTGAATCGCTACTGACTCGTAGCTAATTAGCCTTAAGAAACTAGCGACATGTACAACTCGAAAGAAACGGAGAGATTTCTACAGAAAGTATTCTATTTCCCATGAAGCGATATTTTAAATAAGCGTAAACTTAGAACAAGTTCGGGGTTTAGCCACACATTCGAAAATCCATCTTTTTTTTTTTTTTTGTTTCTGTTAGTAAAATCCTCAAGTATAAACAAATCTGGAACGGAGTATAGTTGTATATAAGTAGTTCAGCAAGTAATAGAAAGGTCTAACAAAGTTAGCGAGTGTCCCGAGAGAACTTTGTGTGCCATACTACAAGTTAAAATTATTTGCATTATGGACTAGCATGTCGCCGCAGTGAGCACAATCTCACTGTGGATATTTAAGGTAAAATGTTTTTCTAAATCGCTAACGACTTAGAGATGTATGTACAAGTATGTGCGTAATCGTTTAGACGCCCGTAAGTTATTAAGTTTGGCACAATGGTTAATAACAAGAATGCACTGCATTATTCGGGAATTTGTACAGAGTATATATAGGTACACGTATAATCGCTTAAGTGAATTTTTTCAAGAAATTCATCTTCGAAGAGGTGTTCGCATTTTGTACGATGCAAAATAGCTGAACTCACCGAAAAATGTTAGAGCGAGGTGTCCGAAGAGAAGGGCACGTGAGCCAATGAGGTACATTTTGAATCGCCTATAGAGTGCCAAATTAGATGTAAGCATATTTACGTAATCGAGAATTGGAGGTAAGTTTCTCATTTAGAAAGCCGCCGACACAGTCCTCACTTTTCAACTAGTCAATGCCTACCTTGACCTATGTCTGTTCCGTAAGTAATAACATAGAAGCAATATCTTTTTTGTTTGTATAATTGAACACTTTGCAACATTTTGATGAACATTATGTTTTCCTATTTCTATATAGATTACCTAAATAAATATTAGAGAAGGTACATTGTAACCAATCGATTTAGTGTTACATCACTAAAAGCATGTACAAATTTTTATACATATCAGCCATGTCAACACAATTCAGCATCAGCCTTGAAATACTAGAAAGATCCGTCATACGAAAGCGTGGAACTCTGTATTTCATTCGTCTTGGAAATAAAGACCGTAAAAAAATCACGCTAATCGTTTGTACTTTATTGGTTAATTTATCAAGAACTTAGCATGTAAATGGTTTAAGTTACCTGAACAAGATTTTATCAATCAATATAATTAAGAATTAGTCTTTATATCTATGCCCCGTTCCATGGCAAACAAACTGTCATATTTTGTGCAATGTAGTATTTCGTTCGTATACAATACCCGTTTGGGCGCACTCGTCTCAAGCTGACGCTATGATAGCGTACGTTTTATTGAGCTATTTTTGCTTGCACTTGAAAGTGGCAAATGTTATTAAAAAAAAAAAATATATATATATATATATTTAATGCTAGGCTTAAACTCAGACCATTTCGACCGAGCGCCAGCGGTCTCATATACTGTGAGAAGGAATATCGTTCTTTCATGAAGAATATAATGAAACTTGGAGAAAAAGGAATTAGAGCAAAATCTGTTACTACAGTTACTCCATATATACGGGCACACTGGACCCTTACCACAATGAAACCTTTTTTGCCTGTAATCGACGGCTTATATTATTGTCAGCTTCTATGCGGCTTGGAAAAATCCGGGAAAGGTTTTTGTGAGGCAAAGCGGATGATTCTCTCTAGGCTTACCTTTAAAAGACTCGACAAGTCAACGTTGACTATTGTAAGTTGGTGAAAACCAGAGGTTGCAAAGGCATTTTACTGCTATTAAGTTAGACAAGCGGGTGCCCTTGAGAGCTTAGAGGGTAACGCATTTTCTTGGTAATATTAGGGACACGCTGTGCTCTAGGTTCAAACCCGGGCATAGACATACGGTTAGAATCATGCTGGAGACCAGCCGTCTGATGGAACGTTTGACAACGGCATAACTCAGAACATGGAGAAGTTAGATGGTCGAAAGCAGCCTTACAAGATGGATATCGTGGCTATATCGAAGAGAGGATCGAGGCCAACCGGCTTGAAAGAAGTCGTTAACCACGGGTAGTTTCAAGATTACAGCGGCTCACTGGGTTACTCAACTAAAGAAGTTAAATGCACAACATTATACCCATATTTGCTTTCTGATCTAAATACCTGATATTGGAACTTAACAAATAACTTACTGTGGCTTTTGTGGCCCCTTCAAACTTATAGACTCAACAGACATATCTTCGGAGATCACCCCATATCGTAATCACTGTTCTAATACTACTCTAAAACGGGCAAATCACACTAAGTGGTACTGCGAAAGTTTTTTGAAGATGTGTTCCGCATCTTGTGAAGTCACAGAAATACAAGTCATAACGTCGAATACGGACTAGAACATGGTTCATAACAACACATCTGCTTCTTTTCATTTTTATACAGTTACCACAACGTTAAGTTGTCCTTCAGAGAATCGTGCGGGAGCGTCGTCACTAATTACAGCGCTGTAGGCAACGTACTGCTCACTGCAGCTAGAACAGCTGACAACGATCGAGCGTATACAAGTACTCATCGCGGATAGCGACGAACTAGAACGGATATAGCCGTCTGAAGTTCTGCAGCCTCCAGCTGCTAAGTCAAGCGAAGCCCTTATACAGCAGAGAGGCGGTTGATTCCTTTTCGCTTGTTTGCTTTTGCCTCGTTGCCACTTAACAGTAGGAATCAAGAGAGAGAAAAACGCAAGATGGAGCATAGAGAAAAGGGCTGAATCTTGCTTTGCCTGGGTATAATTTTTGTAGTAGCGCCCAACGATAAATGGAGCTTCGAAACTTTTCGGGGAACTGCTAACATGCTAGAATAAATACGGCGCTAGTCCTCTTACGTCCTACTGTTCTCTTGTGTAGTGTCAAAGCCTTCAGCCACTTTTCTAGCCGACACATAAAGAGGAGAATTTTTATGTATGGATGAAGCGTTAAGGACAAAGTGGCCGGTCGACATTTGTTTTATTTCTTATGACACCCCCTAACTGCTTTACTACGCTTTTGCCACTGTCAAAGTGTTTGCGAGATGACATCATGAGATACATACCCAGAAGCATGGTGGGTTTTGCGTATCATTCCTAAAAGCATTTCCGACCATTTCGTGTGACTTAGGTGACGTATTTTTCTGTGGCTATCAGATGCAATTGGATCGGTTTATTTCAACCACAGCCATGTTATCTCTCTCGGGACAAAGTTACTTAACTTCAAATGACACATTATGAATCTACACAGCACGAAAAGAACACTGTCCTAAGAGCCAGCATATTTTATTTTCGTAAATCCGTTTGCAAATATATATATATATATATATATATATATATATACTCTTCGGTTTATAAAATCATTGTCTAATCTAGTTTATAAAATAAGGATTTCCTTTGTCTCTGTTTCTCGCTAGAACGTCTGGTTTACATTTTGGCGACTGTTCTCTGCTTCAGACTCCGCGTCTGAAGAAATTTTCTCTAATATTCGCTACTAGAAGAGTGCAATTTGTCGTTATGGCTTGCGGTCCCGTTTTGGTATGTATCACAATCATGTCATTATCTACATTTAGGATGGTTGAAAGAGAAAGGCAGAGGCAGAAGGTAATATTGGAAAGAAAGAAAAAAATGAGTGAAACAAATTAAAGTTGGTGAAATATGGCATCTCTCAGCCTTTTCCATGAAGAATTTAAGCCATCCCTTTGGACTTGTACCCGTTTTCCCACTACACAAAATCTGAATGGCATATCCGTCGTAGCACTCAAGCGGGCTAGCAGACAACTATGTTCCATGCTTGCCTGGTATGCGCGCAGTCGGGTTGAGGCTTACTATAACGCGAGCCGAGGGCGCATGGACGATGGAACCTGCATCGCTTCGTCGCTCGTCGTGCGTCCAAGCGAACCATCTGCAGGCGAACAGACGGGCGACGCACCGGAATGCCTTTGTTCGGCAGTGATTCGACTAACTCCGAGCCATTGCGTGTAGTTTGCCATGGACAGACACAAATAGAAAAAAAAACACAGGGAGGCGCCGCCTTCACCGGTGGCCTTAATAAAGCGACAGGCTATAACATACACACACCTAGAGCCCTTCACCAGGTCGGTAGTCGCTGTTTTCAGGAAAAAATATATGGTTGGTTTTGTCGTGCCGAGATGACGGCACGACAAAGCTGACATGTGATGAAGAAAGTAAGACCGTACTAAGGCGATCGTTTTCGAGATTACGTAAATCGGGAACGCTGTCAAAAGAGACCAGACAATGTAGGAGACGTGCCGTCTAGAGCTATCTGGTAGATGCAACAACTACAACGGAAATGGACCCCCCCTTTCGTATGTACAGAGGCCACCGTTGTCGCAACAAAGCCCGACCAAGCTGCACACAGAAGGCGAAGAGCTGGGTCAGAAGGATAAAAAGCAACACACACAGAGCAATTTCAGACAGACGTCGTATGCGATTCGCTACGATAACGATTAACAACAAAGGTAATATGTCGAAATTGAACCAGCTATGGCGTGAATTGCTATGGCCCAGTGCAGCTAGATGACATTGCCATAAGCTACGAAGTAACTTGTTGTGATCGAGTGGCAAAAAGAGGCGCTTGATTAGTTGGGATTACTACCCGAAGTCGTAAGTAAATCGATAAGAGGTCAAAGTTTTATAGGTCGATTCATTTCAATGATATCGTTACAAACGTAGGCTGTTTGATCTATGAAGGCTGAACGCTTACCATTAACAATGTTCTTCTACTGCCAGAATAACCGAGTTTCCACCTGGAGTCAATGTGGCTTTACTTTTGCCAAACATACGCCGTAAGCCAAAACACACTCTAAGGCGTTTATAACAATCTCCTTAAACATCACTGGAAAGGTTTTGAAATTTCTCAAGTACGTTATAATATCATGCACACCTACGAAACGTTTCCTTGCCTTCGTTGGCAATTGGGGGGAACATACAAAGCACCACAAAGGGTTTTGCTTAGCCGGAAAGCTTGTTAGATCAATTCGGTTGAGTATTATCGTAAACCTTTGCCTCGCATATCGGTCTCTTGGATACATTTATAGAAGTTATTTTGAAGTGTTTTTGCGATATATTACATCATTATTGGGCCTTATAGATTAGTATCGCTAATTCTGTTAAAAAGGCCCAGTTTTTTTCTAACTTCCGTAGAGAGAACGACAGACCAGCTGGGTTGTTATAATAGCTTATGATAGCATGATATTTTACTTAGCACCACTGTGTGTAAGTGCTTCGTTTGAGTTGTGCTTTCCATCCAAATTGAAAAATTAACTGAAGCCTGTGCACAGCTTTATATTTACGCGGGCATATTCACGTTTACCTGTCGCATGCATTGCTCATGTTTATATCCGAAACAAACATTTTATTGCTCATAGTTCAGTATACCAGTATATCGCCTGTTCTAGTACTTGACCCGCCTGGTCTCTTGACATCTTTTTCTGGGTCGAAGTAGCAGACGTGCGCAACACGTTCCATAACCTATCCGTAACTAGAAATGATGCGATTCAATGCAGTGCGTACCGGAAGTCGTTGGCACTGTAATGCCTAAACTGGCGAAATCCCTTTTTTTTTTTAGCGAAGTGGCCGTATCTCCTAAACAGCTACCAGAATACACGATTTCCCTTCTAGTACTATAGTATTGCTGAACTGAGGTGATATTTGTTAGCTCCCAAATCTCTAGGCCAGCTGAAACGGTCCATAAGGCTTCGTTGCGGTGCACCTAATGAGCCATATTGGAAAATCTATCTAAAAAGCCCGTCATAATGTCCAGTGGTACAGTCTGCCTTTCCTGTTCGTTTGACTAAGAAATGACTGAGTATCTACGATATTTTCCTTGCATCAGGATATGTGCAGCTTTTTGGCGATCCGCTCCGAGCCGATAAAAATCAGATTTCGTTGACGAGTCCATTTAGGGTAACAAGTCCATCACTCTATTGATGAACCACATGAATAGGGCTCC